TAGCTTTGGGAGGACGTGCCTCCCTCTTCTCGCCTGCACAGCTGCCATCAGACCTTCTGCATCTTCATTGAGCTCAACCATGTCCAAGGCTTTCATCAATGCCTGCTTCTTTCCTGTGTCAAGGCAATGGTCAAAAACTGCAAACAACTCCAGGGCAGCATGGCGGACCTTCTTTTTACTGTCTGCTAAATATGGAGCGACCTCGAAGCAAAGCTTAGGAATATTGAAATCTGTTCTGGGATGAGTTAGCATAGCTGCCGTGATGATGTTCAGGACATCTTCCCGAACCCTGGAGTTCTTGTGTTTCAAGTTGCCGATAACAAGGTCCAATACTTGTTGAGGTGGAGTAGTTTTCATCAGCTGCTGAAACACATTAAGGTATTCATTCCTGGTGACAGCACGAGTGTCACCGAGCGCCTTCAGTCCGACAAAAACGATATGCTTGAAAAAATTTTCCACACCCGTATCCAGCTTCTGTATCAGCAGGTTTAAAAGCTGTAAGGCGCCATATAGCACCTTAAAATTACTGTCATCTAGAAGTCGAGGCAGAAAATGGATAAACTCCTCAATGCTCCCAGGCGGGATTGATTTAATGTCCACATCTGAGAGGATGCTTTTAAGCTTCTCCACCCCATTTGTGCGATTCTGGTAATTCTTTGAGTCCAGAAGCTGCTCATGTATCTCCTGGGAGATTAAGCCAGGTATCATTATTGGTAGATTTATGGATGTGTCAAATCTGAAAATCCAAAAAAGACAACACATTCCAGCGAGGAGAATAATGTTCCTCCCCTTTACGCCGTGCTTTCATCTTGAGCAGCTGATGGTGGAGAACTTAGGTCCTGTTGGTCAATCTATGGACAGAGGATTAAAAATCAACAAAGGAATGAACCTCACGCGTGAAATAAAGTAAATAATTTTAACCAGATAAAAGTGTAATAATAACAGTAAAATGGACCAATACTTGTATGTAGCGTTCTGGCTATGTCCCACTGACATTACGGAGAAACAGAAAATAAATACTTGCACTTAATAAATGCTCTAAATGACTATTGTCCTGTTTGTCAAACATAGCATCTCCAGACCTCCTGCGTTACATTAACGCATTGTCTACTGTATATATTATATATAGCTATATACTATATATTCTGTATAGTATATGGTATGTTTTATATTGTATATAGCTATAGATTGTGTATTCCTTACATATATATCTAATTTGACTGCACCATCAACTCCGAGTCAAATTCAGTTTAAGTGTAAAATCTGATTCTTTAATAAATAGTTTGATTACTATATTATTATAAAAATATTAATAGTTTAAAAAAAGACACGAAAAGTAAAGCCTAAAAAAATCCAAAAGATTGTTTCATAAAATTAGATATCAGTTGTTTAGAGGGTCAGTTGGAAAAAAAAAACAAAAACAGACAGATGTGTTCTTACTGAAAGTATGTTTGGTAAAGGGGCCTTTTTTTTATTATTAAATCCTCTTTTATGCTATTGACAAAAAAGGTAATTAAATAAAAATATAGAAGCAGACCTTCTAAACCTCTCAAAAACAAATCATTACTAGCATTTTCACTGCACTTTAATGATAGAATGCATACATAGTTATATTGCTAATAATTAATTTCAAAATGACTTTTCCACATTTATTCTTAGATTTTATTTTATTAAAAGGGGTTGTCTTGTATTTATATTTAAGTCCTTAAAACTTGAAGGACTTAAAATAGGGGGGGGGGGGGGGGGGGGGGGGGGCAAGCGTTTTCTGTTACTGCTGTTATGTTCTCATGATTTCTGAAATATTGTATAATTTAGAAGATTTTTACATCATTCTCATATTTTATGGGAAATTTGAGTTTGCTTTTTTTATTTTAGCAGCACGGGAACAGCCCAGAAAGATCTAGAAATAATAGATTTAACATACGGAATCAGGGTTTATCCAAAAAAACATATCACCCAAGAAAATCATGTAGGGATCGGTGATAAAGGATTATAACAACAACCACTTGTGGATCTCGGTTGCTACAGTGGTTATAAGAGTCTCCCCTGTTAATGTTCATAATTACACCTAGCTGGTTTAACATTATGTACTAATGCCTGTAGTGAAGCACATAACCGCTTTAAGAAAAGTAATGCAGTTATTATGACCGTTAACCGAAGCAGCGCGTAGCTAGCACGTCGCTCCGCTCATTTTAACCGTGTTATGAGCGGAGTGCCTGGGCGAGCAAAGTTAGAGAGAAAACAGACCTTACATTTCTGCTGGAACTGCTCCTCAACGTTACCCCAAAGCCAAAAAAACACACAAAACACCAAAACTATCTCTCAATGGTTCCAGGGTCCAGCTTTTTTTTTTCATTTTATGCCGCAGCAGCTCCACTACTGTCAGTAAACGCGGATATTTCTTCCTTTCTCTTAAACTGAGGAGGAGATGAGGAGTTGTTGGGAAGCTATGAAGGTATTCGGCTTTAGAGGAACACACACTAACAAACACTATCACACATACACACACCGAGGCAGCAAAATGGCGAATGCATGTCGCAAACGGAGTGCTTCCATGGTGACGCGAGTTGGAGCTCGAGCTCCTCTAAGCGGAAGCATCATCATCATCACCATGACAGAGCTGCAGAGGGATGAAGATCAAAAGCAGCGCAGTTAAATACATGATTGATGATTAAATTTTTTTGTAAACAAAAATGGATAATTTAGTTGACTTTCTCCCCTGAATTATATTTTAATAAGGTACCTTAAACCAAATTATGAGGAGTTAAAATGTATGTAGCTGATTTATGGGAAGCGATAAAATACTCCTCTATTTTAGAAACACTAAAGCAGGCAAAAGTTATGGAATGAAGAAAAGAAAGGAAGGTGGCTTTATAAAATACAAAAGAGAATTGGACCAATGATAAGATCAGAAAGGAACAGGAGAGAAGAGATTATTATTTCTCGACTTAGAATAGGACACACTGGATTGAATAGATCGTTATTTTTGATAGGGAAACATCAGACAGGGAAATGTGACTGTGGGGAAGATGAGACTGTGGAACATGTCATTTTAAATTGTAGTAAATATTCGATACAGAGAAACAGGTTAATAAGGAAACTTAGTGACATGAAAATGAAACTTGACATTGTCGATTTATTGCAGAAGGAATCAGGAAGCAGAGGATATCGGGTTATATTTGAATTTTTGAAACAGATTAGGTTGTATAATAGGGTATAGTTTTATTTTATTTATTTATTTATTTTTTTATTTTTTTATTTATTTATTTATTTATTTATTTATTTATTTATTTATTTTTTCTGCCATGTAGTCCTCACTCCATACCAGTTGGTGGCGGTAATGCTCACCTAACGTTTTTTGCCAACCGCCAATAAAAATCAATAAGAAGAAGAAGAAGAAGAAGAAACACTAAAGCAAAACAAACTTTAAGTTTCCATATTATTACTTGAAATATAAGTTGCTCTTTTTGAGTTAATTTTGGCCCTTACTAACTTTCCCTTAAGCCATATTGGAACTACATTTGTTCAGTATAAATTGACTCTGTTGAGATATATTCACATCCACATTTATACACCTGTACATTAAAAAAGTAAATATTTAAACTTTGGATGAGATTAGAATATAATATAATAGAATGTAAAATCTATTTATTGTCCCACAATGGGGAAATTCTGGTGTTTAAAGCAGCAAAAATGTTATAGAAAAAATTGTCACACGAATGTTGGCCTTAAGAAAAGCATAAGAATAAAAAAAAAAAAGCAAATGAAATACTGTACAGTAAAGTACAAACAATAAAAATATCATGCACCTGGAAAATAAATAACCAATATACAGCCTTTTAAAAAAAAATCATTTTACAGTAATGAATATTTGAAAAATAGCAGCAACATCAGAGATGTGCAAAATGACAGCAGTATGTTATTTTACTGACTAGTGTAGAAACATAAAACAGTTAGTTTCATATATTTAATTATTTTTCGCTCAAGTTACCCTTTAACTTGGATGTAGACAAAACTTTGCAGCAAACAAGGCAAAATCGTGAGGTCAATTGTGGTCTGCAGGGTCTGCAAGTCTGACCTCTGTCTAAAAGCAGAGTGTAACTGCTTCATAGACAACCACCAGTAATCTAATATTGCTTACTGTCTGTGTGATATGTGACCTACTGTAAATTGTGTAAAAAGTAAATAAAAGTTAAGTAAATATGAATAAGCTAAGTAAAAAAGTAAAACAACAACAAAAACAACAACTGTAGGCTCGTATATCAGCATTCATTTTCTGAGGATTATACTATAAAAAAAATGTTTCTTTCTTTTTGAAGAGACTGCATTTTTTTATATTAGGACAAGTTTCTGCTTTTGGTAATTACATTGACCTTGATCTAATTTAGTAAATGTTGCAAAGGTCATAAGGTCTTGTTTTGTCTTTTAATAACCCTATTGTCTTGAAATTTTGAATTTCAATCTTTAGAAGTGTATAATAAAGGGTTAATTTTTATTTTTTATTTTTTGCAAAAATGCAACCATAGAAAACAAAAGTTGTTACCATGCAACCAGATCGCGTAAGGATTTTGAATGTTTATTATCTGGAAATAATACATATGATGTAATAATATAGGAATATTCAATATATGGCTAGAACTACCAAAATAAAATCTTTAAATATATTTCACAATCGGAAATCTAGTTAAATATTAGGAAGAGAACTATAGTTTTTAGTTAAGTAAAATTCTTTCAATTATTTAAAACTTAAAACTATTAACAAAGTAATCTAGTGCCTCAGGTAAAATAAATATGTTTTTTACTTCATTAAATTGAGGCAAAATCTACATTTCATATAGTGTATTGTATTTGGTACAAATTGTTATTATCTTGTTTATTTATTTGGAAATGTCGTTATAAAACATTTTCTAAAAGAAAAATTGATTTTGTCTGGAATTTCATTCTGATTCATTTCCATCCACTTTAATTGTGAAAGGTACCGGAAGTGGGCGTTTTGTCCCGATAGCTCGTCATCATAAAAGCTAGTCTTTAGCTTTGTGGCTAGGCTGGTTGGAAGTCGGTTGATTCCTTGTTAGCCTTCTGTGGTCTGCCGTCGCCACTACACATTCGGCCGCTATCTGCGCAAACTACACATTACAGGTTCGTTTATCTCTTTTTAACAACATATATATAAATATATATCTATGTATATATTCCTTAAAGCTAACTGTAACGTCACGTTTTGTATTTGTCAGCCATGTTACTGTATATCAATCAATGATGCAGGGAACACATAAATTCTTGTTTATTTTTAGCGGCTAACCTGTAATGCAATCATAAAATACATGTATACTTATTGTGTTGTTGTTGTTGTTGTTCTGACTGAAACCTGCTGATGCTACTGCGGTTGGCTTAGATAAAGGAATCGGTAGAAGAAAAGCTAATTTGCTTGTCTAATTTTACTGTGTTTACTGTATGCCCCTTCCCTGCTAAGGTAGCTAGCGAGGTTTGATTAAGAGGAAATTCCCGTTACATGTTCATGGCATTTGCGTACTGCAATCTGCCAGGCAGTCTAAATGCGCAGCTTTGGGAGTTGGTGATCTGGACCTACCTGTGTCCAGTTTTTCGCCCTTTCTAGGTAATATATTTTGGTTGTTTTAGCAGTGTTAGCATTGGATTTGGAGGACAATGCCTATTTGCCTTAGCTTTTGGAAAATAGCTACTATATTATTCCAGATCAAACGGGCAAAATATATAACATTTCTGTCAAATTTAGACTCACCAAGTCCTCAACCTTTTTTTCACATCCAAAGCACTGTAGTGATTTATTGGTTCTTGTTTCCAGATGGACCAGCAGGACCAGCCCTATATGTTTGCAAGTCTCACACGGCCTCACTCTGAGCAGTTGCTGCAGGGCCTCCAACTCCTGCGGCAAGATCATGAACTGTGTGACATTGTTCTCCGAGTGGGCGATGCAAAGATCCATGCTCACAAAGTTGTGCTGGCCAGCATCAGCCCTTACTTCAAGGCCATGTTTACAGGGAACCTCTCAGAAAAGGAGACCTCTGAAGTGGAGTTCCAGTGCATTGATGAGGCCGCCTTGCAGGTATGCTTAGAACCAGCAGACTTTAACCATACCAATGGAGGTGTATTGTTTCACTGACACATTTTGTTCTCTTCTAGGCCATTGTGGAGTATGCATACACAGGGACGGTGTTTATCTCCCAGGAAACGGTGGAATCCCTGCTGCCGGCAGCCAATTTACTCCAGGTCAAGCTTGTACTTAAGGAGTGCTGTTCCTTCTTAGAGAGCCAGCTGGATGCTGGAAACTGTATAGGGATCTCACGCTTCGCAGAAACATATGGCTGCCATGACCTGTGCCTGGCTGCTACTAAGTTTATCTGTGAAAAATTTGAAGAGGTCTGTCAAACTGAGGAGTTTTTTGAACTGACGAGAGCAGAATTGGATGAAATTGTTTCTAACGACTGTCTTAAAGTGGACACGGAGGAGACTGTCTTTTACGCATTGGAATCATGGATCAAATATGACGTTACAGAAAGACAACAGCATCTGGCTCAGTTGTTACACTGTGTTCGCCTCCCACTTCTCAGCGTCAAGTTCCTCACTCGGCTATATGAAGCCAATCACCTTATAAGAGATGACCATGCATGCAAACACCTGCTCAATGAGGCCCTTAAGTATCATTTTATGCCTGAACACAGACTTTCTTATCAGACTGTGTTGTCAGCGAGGCCTAGGTGTGCCCCCAAGGTGCTGCTTGCAGTAGGAGGCAAGGCTGGACTGTTTGCCACATTAGAAAGGTATGAGTAACTTTATTTAATTAGACTTTCACATATGAGATGCACTGCTCAGGATAAGTAGCTTCGAACTAAAACTAAAAGGATCGTGTTACATGATTTAGCATTATGGATGAATGATTGAATTTCATAACCATGTTCATCTATTCTTTCAGCATGGAAATGTATTTCCCTCAGACTGACACGTGGATAGGACTTGCCCCTCTCAGCGTCCCGCGGTATGAGTTTGGCGTGGCGGTGCTGGACAACAAAGTATATGTGGTCGGGGGTATCGCCACACACATGAGGCAGGGAATCAGCTATCGGAGGCACGAGAGCACAGTGGAGGCCTGGGACCCTGAAAGCAACACGTGGTCCTCGGTGGAGCGTATGGCCGAGTGTCGCAGCACACTCGGGGTGGTGGTCCAGGCTGGAGAGCTGTACGCTTTGGGAGGCTACGACGGCCAGTATTACCTGCAGTCTGTGGAGAAATACGTCCCCAAGCTGAAAGAGTGGCAGCCTGTGGCACCCATGACAAAGTCCCGCAGCTGCTTTGCAACAGCTGTGCTGGATGGGATGATTTATGCTATTGGAGGGTATGGCCCAGCACACATGAACAGGTATCCATCTTAAGAATCTTATTTTAATGAGCAGAAGAGCATGTTACACCCGAAAGAGTTCAGACATGTTTCTATATAGAGCTCAGCTCTGTGTAACCGGTGAAAATGTTAAATCTGAAAACATTTGTGATTAACGCTATTTAGCTTTTACCTATTCTTCTATTAACATTTTATTTATGCTTCAATTTTTATATACTCAAATCTTTATAGCTTCTATTTACCTTTTATTTGAAACTTATTTAACTTACACTGAAATATTATGATGTTACTGGTAACTTCGTTTTTAATATTTACCCTATTCTATTTATTTCTTAACAATTTTAAGATTATTATTATGTGCATCTGCTAAAAAGGGGCTATTTGTTGTTTTACACTGGCTGTGCAGCACACATTTTTAAGATTGACTCTTCAATCTTGCTGAATTATTAATAGAGCTAGCAATAATGTGACGGATATCAGGTCTTGCTGAGAAAACACACACTAGCTTGTTAATAAATGTGGAAAGTTTTTTTCCAGAAGTGTTGGAAATGTCTTATTGAGAGGGTGCCTGCATGTGTGTGTGTTGTTGATCACTCTAGAGCCGAGTCCCAGTTGCTTGTTTCCTTGACACCCAAAACCCTGCAGGAGAATGTGTTTGGACAGAGAACCCATGGGGACATTTTCCTTTTTCCCTCCTGGTTTGTCTGTCCTTTTAAATGTGATGCAAAACAGTCCCACATTGCCAATAGTCTCCTGTTTGTCAGAGCTTTCTAACTTTTGTGGAACTTGAGATTGCCTCATTAGTTAGGTTTACAATCTTTAGGTGGACATTCATTACGTGCGATTGGTTGCTTCAGAAAAGAGGACAAATGGAAGCGTAAAAATATTGTAATTTTTTTGGTCTTTTTTTTTTTTTTTTTTTTTTTAAAGGAAATGTGTATCATTCTAGACCTGAATAATGTATCACTAATATGTCATCATTGCAAGTTGACAGGTGCAAAATTCATATTGCAAGGGTTTGTTTTGGCATTAACTTTTGGTTAATATACTCAAAGTGCTGCAATCGATGAGAGACCTGATATGTTTACAGCAACGTTTAACATCATTGGCCGCATAAATATGTTTTTATTTGGCTCAGTTTTGTGAAGAGTATTAATTTGAGGCTTTGAAAGCTTTTTTTAATTTTTGGTTCTATTTTATACAAATAAATTAAAGTAATTGCAGATCCTTTAAGCCTAACCACTGAGCTGAACCCAAATCAAGCTGTGTTGCTTCACGATTTGTCAAATTTGAGAAAATTTAGAAGAAAAAAAATTAGATCGGAGTCTAGAAGAGTAAAATAGCCAGAGACCCTGTAAATAAAAACATACAAATAATAAAACAAAATCTGATATCCACTCATGAAACCTGGTGTGAATTTGTTGTCAAAGATGCTTTCGTACTGTCTGAATAAAAGTTGGGCAAGAATGGAGCCTTGAGGAACTCCTATATGATCTTTATTCCTTTAGATTTAAAATTGCCCAGAGTCCAAATTTAAACAGTTGGCAGGCAACACAGATGGGAAGTTATAACCCCTACAGTTTATTCATGACTGCTGAAGAAAAGAAAACCTTTTTGGTTTATTATGCTGGTGAAGGTTCTCAGGCATCCAGGTCATAGTCATAAAAAAAAAAAAAAAGAAAATTAAAAACATTCTACTGGACTTTATTTCCAAGTTTGAAGACATTTCACATCCTATCAGGAAGCTTTTTTGGTTGAAATTCAGCAGAAGTATATTCTTTCTAAACAGCTTTGCTGTTCCCTTATGGTGGCTAGCATGAATGTTGTCATTTTTTAAATAAATGTCTGTAAGATAGATAGATAGATAGATACAGACTATATGTTGCTGTTTTCTTATTGTTTGATCTGATTTGCAGTGTGGAGAGGTATGACCCCAGCAAGGATGCCTGGGAAATGGTAGCCCCCATGGCAGATAAGAGGATCAACTTCGGCGTAGGTGTCATGCTCGGCTTCATATTTGTGGTTGGTGGGCACAATGGAGTGTCCCACCTGTCCAGTATTGAGAGGTATGACCCACATCAGAACCAGTGGACAGCCTGTCGGCCAATGAATGAGCCCCGTACTGGTAAGTTTAAACAGTTTAACTGGTGGAACCTAGTTTCACTGTGATGGCTATTTTCTTAGAAAGTTGCATTCTGCTCTCTAAATTACAGGTGTTGGTTCTGCCATTGTGGACAACTACCTCTATGTAGTAGGAGGGCACTCTGGTTCATCTTACCTGAACACTGTCCAGCGCTATGACCCCATCTCAGATAGCTGGTTGGACTCCAGCGGCATGATGTACTGCCGTTGCAATTTTGGTCTGACTGCCCTTTGACCAATGGCCCAGCCAGCTTTGACTCAGTAAAACGATTTCCTTTTTTTGTTATCTGCTCTACTCTTTTCCCTACTTTCGTTCTCCAGGAGTAAATGCGCACCTAAAAGAACATCCAAGCACTGGCTTGAATGGATGTGCAGAAATGGCTTACTGGTAGGACGGAGGGGATCCCAATCTCACTGCAGAGATAAGTGAGCATGAGGACTGTGCAGCTGAGGAAGGTGGATGGTAACGCAGGTACCTGGATGTTAGTGCTGCTGGACCCCTACGAGAACTTCGAGCCATGTCCCAGAGGATTGTAGAAAAAAAAACAAACTGATTGTTTGAAGTTTTTGTTACATTAGCAGACCTTTATGTTCTTTATTTTACATGTCATTAAGTTTATTACTTACGATGTCCAGTTGCGTTCAGAACTATGTTACATTTTTGGAGTTTTGTTGTGTTTTTGTGTGAAAATGCGGTTGTAAGTGTATGCATAAAGGGGGTATGTGCATGTTGGGTGGGTCCTTTTGTTTTGTTACATGCTCGGGTGTAGAACTTGGGTCTGTTTCATGAAGCAGGTTGTCTGAAAACTCAATGTTTTCTAAACCTTAAATATGGAAAATTAGTTTTCCGTTTCACAAAGTGTGTTTCCTCAACCTGTATTTCAGTCACCATAGTAAAATTCTTCCAGGAGCTGACCAGGTCGGGAGCAGGTTTGGATCAGTAAACACTGTATCGTCTGTCTCCACTCTCCAATCACGTTTAATTTCCTGATTTTAATCTGATTTTTGTCGTAGTTTTGTGAATTTTATATATATATATATATATAATACATTAGGTCTGTTACATACATTGCGTTTCATTTGACTAGGATCTTATTAAAATTGATCAGCACATTTAACTGAGAATTGGATAATTATAGGGAGAGGATTCTACAAATCATCGAAGGGGCTATGAGATTTACTTGTTTTTGGTTTGTTTAATAGGAGTGAGATGCGGATAATTTTATTTACTTTTAGAGCACTTGAACTACTGAAATTATATTCAGATTACACATAAATAGATAAATTGATTCCGTAGGGGGAAAAGGAATTACCTTTAGGATTAGAATTCACTTGATAACGACCTACTGATTCTCCTGGTACAATCTGAAGTCCTTCTATGGATCTGATAACAGCTAATAACGACCATTTTAGGGTTGATAACATGCGAAGCGTGGCTGCAAACAGCCAGAGTATTTACTGACAAAGAAGACCAGATCAACATGAGGAGGAACCCAGGAGATGATGCACAGGTTATATCTATTACACCAATGTTTTTAGACTTCATTTTCACCTAATGCCAGAAGATTTCACCTAAATGGATACTTTGATCTAATGCCATTCAAAAGGCTATGGCAAGCCATTTTGATATGTAATGGTTTTTGCTGAATATGTATTCACATATCTGGAAAAAATGTTTTCCTTGTCGAAATGACCATTTCAAACAAACAGACACTCTTCACATCTAGAATAAATATTCTTAATGTCTAGAAATTAATTCCGGATCTCTATATATGCCTGTCTTTTAAACAATTCCTCTATTTTTCCCCCCCATTTCTGCATTAAAGCCTCTACTTCCAGTGTAGTGAAATAGGCCCTTCCTGTTGTCTGTTGTCATGGTGACTCTTCGAATTGGGACTGATAATGGCTTTTCTTACTTGTTACACACGTGCTCAACTCTGAGTGAATCTATTTACAGTTGATTGTACTAATTCGTAGCAGCTGTTGTGAAACCAAAAACTCAGAGTCCCTGACCTTAGGCTAGATCAATTTAAAATTGTGGATTTTAATAGAGTTTGTTAAACCTGCTTTGTGAAACGGATCCCTGAGGCTGAAGCTTCGTGCCGCAAAGAGGTCTGCATCCAAATCAGTGCTTCACAGGAAGAAAAAGAGCAAACTTAGAAACTTTATATTTTCCTCAAAGGGCTGCCTTTCTCTTGTGTAAATAGTATAAATGAAATATATAGATAAATATATCCTCTAGTGCATTGCCTGTAAATGTTAATCTGCACTGGGTCACTAATGAGTGTGTGAATGTGTGTGGTTTGATTAATTCATTCTGTCATTTCATAAAAAGTCAACAGATTTCAGAGGCACGCACTGGTCTCTCCAATAGTTGAAAGTCAACTCGGCCAATTTTGTCTACGATAACTGGTGCTATATTTAGGATTCAGGATATTAAGCTGTTTTTCTGGGTTACTGCACGTTGTAGTCGACATATGTTTAATCGTCAGCTCATGTCTACGTTTGATGCCAGCATTCACTGTATGGGCATTTAGACACATGAAGTCTTAAAAAGCCCCTCACCATGCAATAAAGTAAGTTTAGATAAAATGGAAATAATCCATCATTTCTTATACAAATGCGTCTAGAAAACTGGAAAATTGTTAAATAGTAAATCAATGAATTTATTCATTTTCAAAAATATTTTAAACCTCATGGATTTATTACACACAGAGTGTTTGTTTCTATTAACCCTAGAACCTGTAAAAACCTCGAAACAATTCCTCAGAACATTTGAGTTATACTAGTTTTTTGTACAGTAAATGAAACTTTTAGCCAAATGCATCCATTTAGTGTGCAGGATTCACTACTTTTGTGGAGGTGAACCGTTTTGTCTAAAGCTAGCAACATAGGAAAGCATGCTCAAATGCTTCTTTATTTTGTTTCTTTGTTAGTTCTATGTGGACCCCTTTCTCTCAGACTTTATCCTTCCACTGAATTTTCCATTACTATGCCAGCATACATATCAGCCTGTTAAATGCCAGCAGGTTTTGCAGTCTCCTTTTGTGATCTACTCTTGGTCGAGTGTGTAATACTTGATTAAATTCTTGATCCAAACTCTGCGGAAATTCTGTCCGGACGGACATGTTGACCATAAACCAAGCGACTGCAGGGCAACGTCTCAAGCCAGCAGGCTTTCTTACAAATATAACATGTCTGCTCTAAAAAAAAAATCTTTGTAAATGTTACATGTTGTTCTTATGTCTGATTATATTTTCTATTTTTTTTCCCCTTTGGTGTAAGCAAAGCTTTTTGAAATGAACGGAAACACTCTGTGTGTAACAGATCTAATTAACTATTTGAATTATTATATTGGGATTTTTTTAATGCACCTTTTAGTCTAGAGATTCACCAAATGTTTTCTAGTTTCATTTTCAACTGTAGAAAACTATCAACCATCGCAGCCTCATCTAAGGTGCCAATAACCTCTCCTTCTTTTACGTCTTCAACCTTGACTATAGAAGCGGTCCCGCAGTGGAAACGTCTTTCCTGTCGACGCGATTGTGTTGTGTTCTTCCGTGTTCTTTGGCTTTTGAAAGTGAGGCACTGACGTCTGTGCTAGCCAACTTAGTCCAAGCTCCCCCCCCCCATCACAAGAGAAATCTGTATCCCAGGATGTAGAGGAGTCTCTCCTCCTGTTCTAGGGAGTGTAAGTGTTGCCTGTCTCATTGTTCATCAAGTCAAGTCACTTTCTGTGCGCTAGTGTTTGCACAACTTTTAACCAAGCTTCTTTGCATTGCACTTACCAAACTATATGACACATCTTGTCAGTCGGTTGTACCTTTTCTTCTCATGTAAGCTAAAGGCATTTAGATGATGCAATAAGACTCCTTTTCCTCTTTGGACTGAAAATGTTTTGTGTTACTCCTTAAAAAAGCCAAGGCATCTCAATTTGCTGTAACAGAACCCGGCATGGCGTGTGGATGGTAAACAGAACAAGTGAGGGAACCTTTGACCTCTTGCCATTTCCCATCTACACGGGATGTGTTCATTTAGGTCACAGTTCATTGTTTTATGGCTCATTTAAAACTTTTGCCACATCTACACTACAGACTTTCTTTGCCATTTTGCTCTTGTGTCTTTTGTGTCAGATAAAATGTAAAAATGTAATTTCCTCTGCAAATTAGTCAGTTGTTACTAGTGACACTTTTAAGTTTCCTAATGATTGTTTGCATCTACATAAGTACTTTAAGTCTAAAAAAAAAATGGTTGAAAAATCCAGTTTGTGATTCTGCAACAATGTTCATAGTTATTTGTGCTTTTCCTGGGTGTGGGCCGAAATAACCATGAAACACTACAACGTCATGTGTAATTTAAAAAAATCCCAACAAAGAAGTGATTTTCTTTTAAATAGAAAAGAAGTAATTGATTCTACCACTATTCAAATAACACAAAACATTAGTATTGTGGAATGTATTTGTCAAATCTTGATTCCAGCAACTTCCTGCTCTACAAAGGAAAGTTTTCCAAAACACTGTGCAGCACTGAGTGAAAGATAGAAAGCACTGCTTCACCGTAGCTCTGGGATTGCATTAAAATGATGGAAAATGTTGGCGTCATTGAAAACAAATTTTTACCAGCTTTGTTCACCTGAATTTGGCCCACGCCTGTTTGTTTTCAAGTTATTTTTATTATTACTTTATTTTCTTAATCTGATGCATACTGTGCTTTTTGTTCACCTGACTACGGTACAATTGAAATCTGCTTAATTTTGTGTTTCCTCCTGTGGGAAATGCAGAGAATTATAAATCATTTTAGATGGAAAAATGATGAAATTCTGCAAATATGAATCTGCAAAAAAAGGGAGCATGTGTGCTTTTATTGTGGAGATCTCACCAGCGTCCTGTTTTTATTTTTTTGCCATCACTCTCACCGAAGTGCTTGTACAAAGAGAACAGGAGGGTGACTTTTTTTAATGAGCTAAAGTCTGCACTCTGCTGTCATCTTTACATTTGTATCTCAGAAGAAGAAAACTCCTGTGAAACCGATGTCAGTGTTAGCCAAAATGACCACTGCTTCTTTTGTTTTTTTTTTTTACATTCCTACTGTCTGTGTTCTCCAGTCTCAACATGTAAAAATATAAAAAATCTAGTGGACTAATGCTGGAAGTCAAAGATTACATTATGTGTAACGGAAACTGTAGCTTTTCACATTTTATCACTCTTTATTTGAAGTCATTTTACATGTACAGGTGCTGGTCATAAAATTAGAATATCATGAAAAAGTAGATTGATTTCAGTAATTCCATTTAAAAAGTGAAACTTGTATATTATATTCACACATTACATACAAACTCATATATTTCAGATGTTTATTTTGTTTAATTTTGATGATTACAAATGACAACAAATGAAAATCTCAAATTCATCATATCAGAAAATTAGAATATTGTGAAAAGGTTCAAAATTGATGGCCCCTGGTGCCACACTCTAATCAGCTAATTAACTCAAACCACCTGCAAAAGCCTTTAAATGGTCTTTCAGTCTAGTTCTATAGGCTACACAATCATGGGGAAGACTGCTGACTTGACAGTTGTCCAAAAGACGACCATCGACACCTTGCACAAGGAGGGCAAGACACAAAAGGTCATTGCTAAAGAGGCTGGCTGTTCACAGAGCTCAGTGTCCAAGCACATTAATAGAGAGGCGAAGGGAAGGAAAAGATGTGGTTGAAAAAAGTGTACAAGCAAGAGAGATAACCGCACCCTGGAGAGGATTGTGAAACAAAACCCATTCAAAAATGTGGGGGAGATTCACAAAGAGTGGACTGCAGCTGGAGTGAGTGCTTCAAGAACCACCACACACAGACGTATGAAAGACATGGGTTTCTGCTGTCGCATTCCTTGTGTCAAGCCACTCTTGAACCACAGACAGCGTCAGAAGCGTCTTGCCTTGGCTAAAGAGAAACAGGACTGGACTGCTGGTGAGTGGTCCAAAGTCATGTTCTCTGATGAAAGTAAATTTTGCATTTCCTTTGGAAATCAAGGTCCCAGAGTCTGGAGGAAAAGAAGAGAGGCACTTCATCCACGTTGCTTGAAGTCCAGTGTAAAGTTTCCACAGTCAGTGATGGTTTGGGGTGCCATGTCATCTGCTGGTGTTGGTCCATTGTGTTTTCTGAGGTCCAGGGTCAACGCAGCCACATACCAGGAAGTTTTAGAGCACTTCATGCTTCCTGCAGCTGACCAACTTTTTGGAGATGCAGATTTCATTTTCCAACAGGACTTGGCACCTGCACACAGTGCCAAAGCTACCAGTACCTGGTTGAAGGACCATGGTATCCCTGTTCTTAATTGGCCAGCAAACTCTCCTGACCTTAACCCCATAGAAAATCTATGGGGTATTGTGAAGAAGAAGATGCAATACACCAGACCCAACAATTCAGAAGAGCTAAAAGCCACTATTAGAGCAACCTGGGCTATCATAACACCTGAGCAGTGCCACAGACTGATCGACTCCATGCCACGCCGCATTGCTGCAGTAATACAGGCCAAAGGAGGCCCAACTAAATACTGAGTGCTGTACATGCTCATACTTTTGATGTTCATACTTTTCAGTTGGCCAACATTTCTATAAATCCTTTGTTTTTTTTGGTCTTCAGTAATATTCTAATTTTCTGATATGATGAATTTGAGATTTTCATTTGTTGTCATTTGTAATCATCAAAATTAAACAAAATAAACATCTGAAATATATGAGTTTGTATGTAATGTATGAATATAATATACAAGTTTCACTTTTTAAATGGAATTACTGAAATCAATCTACTTTTTCATGATATTCTAATTTTATGACCAGCACCTGTATTTTAGTCAGTTTGTGTGGTGCGGTTGTACCCAGATTAAAAAATAAATGCCGGCCTTAAATAAAAGCCATGCATGTTTATTGTTTTTTTATTTTATTTCCGTGCATGAATGAGGAAACAAAAAATCAGGGACATATATTCATAAAATATTCATATTTATTTTTATTAAGACAATATCTGCAGAAAAAAAAAAGATTAACCACAAGCAGGTCTGAAGAGCTTTCTTGGCAGAGGCACTACGTGATAACAGTAATTTTTAGAGGACCAGAAAATCTGCATTATGTCTAACATTGAAGTTGCAAAACAGTGGAGATGTGAACTTTTCAGCTTGAATTTATTGTGTGCTTTATGTCTTAAAGCTCAAATTAACTAGATGAACCTTCTAAGGTGAGAAATACAAAAAAAAAATTGCATCTAATACCGACTGTTTCAACATTCACACTAATTAATACAGGATAAAATCAACTTAAACAGATTTAAAAAGGCAAGGTGAAATCAGAGCACCAGTTTCCTGGTGATAATCAAACAGATCATTGAAATTGTTCTGGAGCAGAAACACATCATAAAATCCAACTGAACAGCTTTATTATTATTTTATTTTTTTTGAGGTATATACTGAGATTCATCAATGTTGGAAATGTAAAAACTATTTATTGACTGGTTTACAGATTGTGAGGTCGTATATCTCATGAAAAACATGTTGCCCTGTAGCATTTCCTTTAGGATTAAATTAAGAAGCAAACATCTGCTGGATGAGAAAAAAAAAAGGTTTAACATCAGGGTTACATTAGTGTTTATAAAATTTCTTGAAATGCCTTCTTGTGTTTCCATCTGCAGTGAATCTGATAAACCCACAATAAAGATAACCTAGCCTGGGAGGATTTTCCTTCCCTGGTTAACTGGATGTTTTTTTTTTTTTTTTAGAAAGAGGTAAAAATAACAGGTGAAATCTGATCCAAGGAAGCTTATGGCTGCACTAAAAGAGCTGCAGAGATTTCTAGATAGCACTGGCAGGGTTCTGCATGATCTTTGGTGTTTTCTATGGCAGAGTTGCAGGGCAAAAGACCTTTCTACAAAACATCCAGGTGTGGAACTGAAATAAAATTACTCTAAATACCAGACAACTTTAACCTGAAAGATTCAAATGGTTTCTAAACTGCTATAGGTAAAGGATTTGATTACTCGCAATGGTTTTCTCAAGCTTTAACAGAGGAGGATAAATGACGAAAATAAAAGAAAAAAAGCTGCACTAACAAAGATTCTTATTATAAGGTTTCACGTGTTTTTGCATTATTTCAGTTTTCCTGCCAACAGGAATTGTTTCTCAGTTATACTGTACAACATGCACTCCTAAATGATGGTTGAAAAACATTTATTCATCATATTTAATGAGGGAAAAAAACGGTCACTTTAAAAAGGGATGAGTTCACTTTTAAGATCCCCCAGATCTCAACCCAGAACTATTATAGTCCATTTTACTCTTGGATTCCAAGCATGCTTCCATAAAATATGTAATTATGCACAACATGTTTGCAGTAAGCAATCAGCTAAAACGGACATGAGTAATTCTATCAAAGGAAGCATACTCAGACCATTAAATCGTAGAACAAACAAACAAAACAGATATATAATGGCAAAAAACAGGAATAAAAGTAAAAGACAAAACACAGCATGACTGGTGTGTTCTATACGATGCTGCATCATCCAACGGTGACTCAAAGCCTTCACTTATCAGATGCACGGATGTAGACCAAGGAGGACAGCAGAAGGAGCTCTGGCGGCTTATGCAGCAGGATCAGATTATCGCTTCTAAGACCGTCATAGTGCATCCAGCAGCCGTCTATCTGGAAAGCTGCCGAGTAGTGATGCTCCTCCCGATTGAAGAGTGTGGCGCCCTCTAGCAGGTATCTAAAAAGGAGAGTGACATGTCAGATCCTTAGGCCTGTACTGTAATGCTTTATGTATCAAATGCTTTATGTATGCAATTGTGTGATTCTTTCAAAAGAAATGCTTTTCCGTTGGCCTTCAAACAGTTTTAGTCATTTAGAAAATAATTTGCAACACAATTAACATAACAGCTTTTTGTTTGTTGTTGTATATTTATTATTTGGAAAATAGTATAACAGTTGGAGCAGCCATATGTTATAATCTCCTTTACTCTGTTACCCCTCAATCAAATCAAAATCAATAACAAGTAAGTGCCTTTATCAGTTAGAGTCCAGCTTTTCATAAAACAATCTCAGGGATTAATCTATGTAGAAGTTTAAAGCAGTAATCTGCCATTTAACAATATCTCATGGTTCAATCTGTCCACACATTCATACAGAACAACATACCTGGGACATACCATAACCTGGAATAAATGCTGTTACTTTTTTACTCCTGATTTATAGTCCTTTTTATATGGTTATACCCAGTTTGAGTTAAGAGCAGTAAATAACTTGCTCCCAGGTAAAGAACCGGTAGGGAAGTTCTGAGGCGCAGCTGCCTTTAAGGGGACCAAACTTCAATATTTAACACTTTCATCTACTCAAAATTACAGCTCTGACAAAAGGAGAATTTATAATAGAAGCTGACTAGATGCCTGTAGTTGGTATGGAGGAGGTGCAGAAAGATGATGAAAGATTAAAGAACAAAATATCAGTCCACAGATCTTCAAATCTAGTTTGAAACATCTGCAGCTTCAATGGCAGAAAATGGTCATTTTCAAAGGTCAAACAAGTGTGATATTCTAATTATCATATGTGCAATATTTATAACACATGCATTAAATTATTCTAGTTCGCAACTATGCACTTCTTAGTGTGCTCCATTCAGAAGCGTAGCCAGAAAATGTTAATAGGGGTGGCCATTCAAGAACCAATGTAAACTGAGGGGTGGCCAAAAGCGGATCGGTGCCAGAACCTCAGGGTCCATCTACACTGTTCCAACAGGAACGAGCACAACATCCATATTTTCAAAATAAAGACAAACTATACTTTCCTACAGCCTTTTGATTACAAATAGATGCATATATTTAAACATCCATGCTGTCTAAACAAAAGGTATAGTGGACAAAATGTCTGGGGCAAACATCTTTTCCATTCTCATTACTTACCCACCTTTATCAAAAATTGTCCTGCAAAACATTAATATGACATGTACTAATCTTTACATTAAATGGATTTTTAAGTTATTATTAAAGTATTTATCTATGATTTCACTGAAAACTCCTTGATGACTTGCAGAGACATAATTTTCTCTTTCCCCCATATAACACAAAATTAGGCTCTTAAAAGAGCATGAATTCAGTATATATCAACTTTAATGTTAGTATTTTGATGTGCATAAATAACCACAGCATTTTATTTGTCAAATTACTATCAATATATGAAAAATTAAAATGTTTAATAAGTTTAAACATTCCTCTTGATGGTATCACTGCTGCCGCCTTCTGTATTAGAGGGCGAAAAAATGGTAGGGGTGGCCAATGAGTGACTAAGAGCGGCCATGGCCACCTCTGGACCCCCATCTAGCTTTGCCACTGGCTCCATTACATATTAAATACTAAAATTTATTAAATACACTGGGTCATACCTCTGCTGGCAAAGGGCCAGATAGTAAGGTACGTATGACAGATCCTCTGACCTCCACTGTTGCATGTTGAGGATCACAAAGGGAGGGGGTCCATGGCAGAAAACCCTTTGAGAAAACTCCCTCAGTCCATCACAGCTGTAAAGAAACATTCAAGCCGTCAGTGAGGATAACGTTGCAGGACTGAATCTTAGAAGAGAAAAAGTGTCTTACCATAGTGTCTTACCCTAGCTCTGAGCAGAGTAGGAGTTTGGGGCAGAAGAATTCATCCACTGCAGACTGGATGGGGTCTTTGTGAGGAAGCTCGTGAGGAGGGCTGATGTTGATGGTGGTTTTCTTGACATTCTGAAAGCGGCCCTCACAGTCTCTGTTGGTGCAAAGGCTCTCCTGAATGGTAGACATGAGGTTCTCCAGGTTCTCGGTGAAGTTCTCGTGCTCGTTCCCAAACAGGTCGATCTCCAGGGCTGCCTGGTGGATCTCTGAGCGGTACTGTCTCTTAGACATCCTGTTCCAGATCCACAGCATCTTCACTGTGGTGTAGTCACAGGAGTCCATCAGGTAGAGGAAATGATCCACAAACTGCTTCCCGAGGAAGACTGCCAGCTCCCTGTGGAAGCCCTGGTTGTCTCGCAGGATCACATACAGGATCATGAGGAAGCCATCAATGGTGCATGTGTTTTTCAGTTGGACCTCCACATACAGAGGGATGCAGGATATGGCCTTCCGCCCTGCCTTAATGGTGAAGACGCCCCCCCAAGGAAGCACGGGCCTCCAGAAGGAGCGATCCTCCTCGTCATTGTTGTTTATGGAGGCACGAATCTCCTCAAAAAGTGTTTTAGACCTAAAGAATATAACACAAATTCATAGCAGTTTAGATATCTTCGGTTTAAGGCGCAAAGATGGTGAGTGGTTGGATCTGTGTGACGTAAACAGAGTACGTGCAATCTAAAGAATAGCCTCCAGAGAACAGCAGGAACCTGCTAATTTAAATGTTTTCCGTCATTATTTAACTTACCTCTCGGTTTGGAAAGTTTTCTCCGCGTAGGAAAATCTCGTGAGCTCTTCGATCTCGTTTAAAACGCCGCTGAATCTACTCTCCATAGCTCTCCGTAATTCGTCATGTCTCCCGTTACGCCTGAAGCTCGATAAAATAAAAGCGTCGAGTTATAATGTCCCGCAATTTCTGGTGTAATTTCACATGTGATTTCTATTAATGAACCCAAAACAAAGCACCGCCGACGTCATTTGACCTACATAAACACTGCTTTGCCTTTATGACGACTTATTACATTGAATTAGCACACTGCTGCCCCTGTTGGTCATCTGTGACATTACGTCCAAAACTACCCCCACCCACACCTTCCATAAAGCGCCGCTATTGGTGGAGAGGTCTGTTTGGCGTTTTCACTCAGGTATTTTATTGGCTTGCAGGAATTACGTCAGTCACGCCCTTCACATGTTCCTTCCTTCAATAGCATAATAGCATGTAGGCTATCACAGTACGCCAGAATCGCCGCCATATTTAGAGTGTCCCATTGAAAAACTAAACAAAACAAAAAAACAATAAAGCAATAAAATATCTAATAAAATATATTTTTGTTGTTGTTCTTATTACGTATGTTTTTGTAAAGAGGTCTAATGATAATTAAACTGATATCATTATCGTTTGTAGTATCTGCTTTTTTATATATTTACAGTATTTTTTATTATTATGTTTGAGAAATTCATGCTTAGGAACAGAAGTTGAGTAAAAGCAAGGAAAGTTGTATAAAACTTAGATAGTATCTCATTATAATGAGATAGTATACCATTATTTTGAGATGGTCACTTTGTCATTATTTTGAGCTGGTATCGCATTATAATAAGATAGTATCTCATTATTTTAAGATAGTATCTCATATTGAGATAGTATCCCATTAACAGGCTTCCATAAATAATACAGAGTTAATTGGTGTCTAAAAAAATATTATATATATATATATATATATATACAGGTGCTGGTCATAAAATTAGAATATCATGAAAAAGTAGATTGATTTCAGTAATTCCATTTAAAAAGTGAAACTTGTATATTATATTCATACATTACATACAAACTCATATATTTCAGATGTTTATTTTGTTTAATTTTGATGATTACAAATGACAACAAATGAAAATCTCAAATGCATCATATCAGAAAATTAGAATATTACTGAAGACCAATAAAAACAAAGGATTTATAGAAATGTTGGCCAACTGAAAAGTATGAACATCAAAAGTATGAGCATGTACAGCACTCAGTATTTAGTTGGGCCTCCTTTGGCCTGTATTACTGCAGCAATGCGGCGTGGCATGGAGTCGATCAGTCTGTGGCACTGCTCAGGTGTTATGATAGCCCAGGTTGCTCTAATAGTGGCTTTTAGCTCTTCTGAATTGTTGGGTCTGGTGTATTGCATCTTCTTCTTCACAATACCCCATAGAATTTCTATGGGGTTAAGGTCAGGAGAGTTTGCTGGCCAATTAAGAACAGGGATACCATGGTCCTTCAACCAGGTACTGGTAGCTTTGGCACTGTGTGCAGGTGCCAAGTCCTGTTGGAAAATGAAATCTGCATCTCCAAAAAGTTGGTCAGCTGCAGGAAGCATGAAGTGCTCTAAAACTTCCTGGTATGTGGCTGCGTTGACCCTGGACCTCAGAAAACACAATGGACCAACACCAGCAGATGACATGGCACCCCAAACCATCACTGACTGTGGAAACTTTACACTGGACTTCAAGCAACGTGGATGAAGTGCCTCTCTTCTTTTCCTCCAGACTCTGGGACCTTGATTTCCAAAGGAAATGCAAAATTTACTTTCATCAGAGAACATGACTTTGGACCACTCACCAGCAGTCCAGTCCTGTTTCTCTTTAGCCCAGGCAAGACGCTTCTGACGCTGTCTGTGGTTCAAGAGTGGCTTGACACAAGGAATGCGACAGCAGAAACCCATGTCTTTCATACGTCTGTGTGTGGTGGTTCTTGAAGCACTCACTCCAGCTGCAGTCCACTCTTTGTGAATCTCCCCCACATTTTTGAAGGGGTTTTGTTTCACAATCCTCTCCAGGGTGCGGTTATCTCTCTTGCTTGTACACTTTTTTCGACCACATCTTTTCCTTCCCTTCGCCTCTCTATTAATGTGCTTGGACACTGAGCTCTGTGAACAGCCAGCCTCTTTAGCGATGACCTTTTGTGTCTTGCCCTCCTTGTGCAAGGTGTCGATGGTCGTCTTTTGGACAACTGTCAAGTCAGCAGTCTTCCCCATGATTGTGTAGCCTATAGAACTAGACTGAAAGACCATTTAAAGGCTTTTGCAGGTGGTTTGAGTTAATTAGCTGATTAGAGTGTGGCACCAGGGGCCATCAATTTTGAACCTTTTCACAATATTCTAATTTTCTGATATGATGAATTTGAGATTTTCATTTGTTGTCATTTGTAATCATCAAAATTAAACAAAATAAACATCTGAAATATATGAGTTTGTATGTAATGTATGAATATAATATACAAGTTTCACTTTTTAAATGGAATTACTGAAATCAATCTACTTTTTCATGATATTCTAATTTTATGACCAGCACCTGTATATATATATATATATATATATATATATATATATATATATATATATATATATATATATATATATATATATATATATATATATATATATATATATATATATATATATATATATATATATATATATATATATATATATATATATATATATATATATATATATATATATATATAAATTCAGTGAGGTTTGTATTTTTCTACAATATCATAATATAAAATTTTCTCAAGTGGGAGTTACTGCCGTTGTTAATGTTGTTTACAATTATTAATAAAGAAGCCTGTCGTTTTTGCATCATAAGGAAAACTTTCCAATCGATTCACTTGACACACTTGACACTCACAATATGGCGGACGCAAACTATTTATTTGGAGCAACCAAGCTCGCGCGGCTTTCAGGTGAGTAAGGCTATTGGTCAGAACACAAATCTAATTATTTAAAGTGCCAATTTGATTGGCCTACACTGAATGTAACGCCTCTCCTCGTGTTTTCAGTGAACTACGATATGTCTTAGGCGGTATTCCGGAAAGTTCTACGCCTATTTTCAGCGTTACTCTTGTGTTTGCGTAACAATCCGGCGCAAGTACAAGCCAGCTCCTAAACTAGACTAGTCCCACCACGCTGCTCTTCTTGTCAGATAGCGAACCTTCCCTGGTCACCATCACGTCGGACACAGACAGACCGAACATGTCAGCTCAAATCATAAGCGGAAAAGAAGTTTCAGCGTAAGTATGATCATTTAAAGTAGAGTGTTTAGAAATTGAGTGTGATCAAGAGCTACACAACTTTTTTTGGCTAGTTAAGCTGCTAACTTGTTGAGATATAGTAACACTTTGTACCATATGATTCTCTGATCAGTTCAATTCATTATCCAAGCTTTTTACTGTTCACTTTTAACTAGGCTTGTCCTGGGTATAGAGACTCTATGATTTTTCTTTTTTTGCATTGTTTTGTTTTTTGTGTATTTGTTTAAAGTGCAATTTGTAGTGCATTTTGCAGCATTATGCAAGATGTGTGGTTGTGGTGTGATTTGAGCTTTGTCCCTTTGGTCCACTGACCGACCCCAAGTGCACCAAATGACAGAAGATCATGCATGAGTCACATTTGGACATTTTCTTTAGGGATATTAAATTAATGAGATTAATCTCTATTTTCTTTTCTCACATGCAAAGGGATGTGTATTTTCTTATGCAGCAGTGTGGAAGAAATTTAGCTGCATGTGCCTGTCACAAGACCTGGAAAGTTGCAGCCTATTAACCTCCCCACACAACATTCATTAGTTGCTTGATTCAGTAACAAACAGCTATTCTTCTGCTCTCCGTTCCATAAAGAGTTGTTTACTTTGAAGTTTGATAGGATTTGTTATATAATCTGGCTGCATGTTGAATGCATCTTGTGTGCAATATGTTATGACTGCTTTTAGTTGTTGATATATTTGGAAATATTACACACACAAAAAAATAAAAATAGAGAGACACAATACCTGATTTGATTTATTTCCTGCCCCAAAACAACATACTTGGATTTAAGTTCTACATGCAATGGATGATGGCTTTAATTTTGTAATATATGCACACTTAGATCAAACATTCAATGGTTGATCAGCATACAGTGGCTCTTAGAATAGATCGTGATGACCAGAAGATAAAGTCCAGTTCACTTTTTTCCAATCAACATATCAAACCCTCTGGTTGTAATTTACCCTCTCATTCAACACTACAAGGTGCAGGAATGTGTCCCTGTATTCAGACTATAAAACAAATAAAGATAAAGAAAAGACAGGAACTTAGATAAGACAATGCTTCTATAGTCTTTGTGTTGTGCAACCATGATTGGTAATTGCAGAGTGGAAAATCATTACCCCTTCAGACGCAGAATAGCCAAAATGCATCTACCTGCTTGGGAAATCTGTAACAACTCAGAGAAATAAAATATGTTAAGAGATGAAACACCCTTTTATTGTCTTGTTTTCTCAGGCAAGTGAGGGCGCAATTGAAGAAAGATGTGGAGCAAATGAAACTCAAGGATCCCAACTTCCGGCCGGGTCTGGTAGTTTTACAGGTAAATAGAAAGCGATTTTATATCCCACTATATCCCTGTTAACATTGTGACCCAACAAACAGACTCCGTATAGAAGAATAAATATGAATAAACACTGTGCCCATGAGTTAGTACAACATGAGTTGATTCTGTGATGCTCTGGCAGGTTGGAGATCGTGAAGATTCAAATCTGTACATCAGCATGAAGCTGAAGGCAGCAGCAGAGGTAAGTTCAGAGAAGTAATAATTATTGGTGCTACAGATTTGCATCAGTCAGCTGTCATACACTTTTAATATGACACATCTAAAACTGTTTAAAACTGTTTAAAACTTGTTTTTTATTTGCAGATTGGGATAAATGCGACACATATGAGACTTCCTAAGACTGTGACTGAAGAAGAGGTAGGATGGGGTTTTGAGTTCAAACCTTGCTCCCACAGACTGCCAGTCTGGGTCCGTTAGAAGACCCTTAACCCCACACTGCTCCGCGGGCGCTGCACAATGGCAGCCCACTGCTCCCCAAGGAGATGGGTCAAATGCAGAGTTCATTTTGTTGCTCTGTACTTGTGACTGTGCAATGACAATAAAAGCTGAAAAAAAGCTATTTTAGCTATTATTAATAAAAAAAATATATATAATTTTATTGTCCCACATACAAAATATCTACTGTTTATATTAGGAATTTTCAAAAATGACAAAAAAAAACTTATAACCTCTATTAGAACCATTATGTTCAAATGACAAATTGAGTTTCTATTACTCACTGTAGTAGAAGTGGGATAATAGAGATTGTTAATTATATTGTTTTTTAATTTTTTTATGTTTTTTATTAGACTTTATCTCCTAAGTGAAAAAATAAAATGTTCCACCTCTGAATCTGCAGATTCATTTTAATGTTGTACATATGGTGCAACCTGTTGATCGTTACAATGGGACTGAAATGAGCTTCTGCTTGCAGGTTCTTCACAGCATCAGAGAAGTGAACGAGAACTCATCAGTCCATGGTCTCATAGTGCAGCTGCCTCTAGATTCAATCCACAAGATCAGCACAGAAAAGGTCACTAATGCTGTGGCACCGGAGAAGGACGTAGATGGGTAAGAACATTCTATATTATAAGAATGCTAAATGGGATTTATGTAAACCCTTAACATGTTCTTATTGGTCTTTTCACAGATTGACCAGCATAAGTGCAGGGAAGCTATCTCGTGGAGATCTGGGTGACTGCTTCATCCCTTGCACCCCAAATGGCTGCATGGAGCTGATCAGACAGACAGGTTAATGAAGCCATGTAGAAATCTAGTATTAAAAGATATTTTCACTGTTCAGTTATATAGACTGTATTCAGAGAAGTGGATGTTGCTTAAATGTGATGATTTTGGGTCTCTGCAGGTGTATCTGTGGCAGGGAAAACGGCTGTGGTGATTGGTCGCAGTAAGATTGTTGGTGCACCGATGCATGATCTGCTCCTGTGGAATCATGCTACAGTAACCGTCTGCCACTCTAAGACTGCAGATCTAGCTGCAGAGGTACATTTTCACATTCTAGCATGTTATTATTGCCTTTCACACTTTAGGCATGCCAGTATTTATTGTTTAAGCTGAGCCTTTAGGTCAGCTCATCTCTACATCACATCTCTGTACTTAAGAGATCTCAATACTTTACTAATGCATATTGCACATTCTAACTTTTTGTTATTTGATGTACTTGCTGACATCACTTTATATTTACAGAAATCTTCTTCCAACTTTTCAGCAGCAACTTTTTATAGAAAACAAAAATAAACCTCTTTTTCTTAGAGAGCTCACTGCTGACCTCTTGTTGTGATTTTTTTTTTTTTTTTTTTACTTGTAACCTGTCTGTTTGTGTTCCTATCCAGGTGGGTAAAGCAGACATCCTGGTTGTTGGTATTGGAAAAGCAGAGATGGTGAAAGGAGAGTGGATCAAAAAGGGAGCTGTGGTTATCGACTGCGGGATCAATCACATTCCAGGTAGATGTTATAAGGTACAAAATGGTTCTGATATTAAATAACAACTAAGACGTCTGGGTCAAATGATGTCTGTTTTTTAGATGAGACGAAACCTAATGGGAAGCGGGTAGTGGGGGATGTACATTATGCCTCAGCCAAGGAGCGTGCAGGTTTCATCACCCCTGTGCCAGGAGGAGTGGGACCAATGACAGTGGCAATGCTGATGGGGGTAAAATCATAGGCTTTTATACAATTCAGAAATATTTTCCTACTTTTCTTTGCAATAAAAGTGTGTGTCTGTGTTCTTTGATGTGGTTAGAATACAGTGTTGAGTGCAAAGCACTTCCTTGAGAGCCATCAGCCTGGGAAGTGGGGCAGTTCTTACACGAAACTCAACCTTCAGAAGCCCGTTCCAAGGTTTGTGTCTCTCTCATTGTAGTTTTTTTACCTTCTACAGAAGTATTTTTTAAGTATTAAGCACAAATTATTAATTTCTTCTAAAGCTGGAAGAAAATCCACCTAATCTTTTAGATAAAGTGTACGTTTTTGTATTCAGCCCCTTTTTATTTGAAATCTGGAGCAAACAAATACCATCAGAAGTCGGTAAGTTGAGTCCACCTGTGTTTGATAATCTCAGTAAACTTAAAGATGTTGAAGAACTTTCACATAGAGCTTCATACGTGGGTCACAAATATAAGAAAGAGGGGCTCTGCATGTAAGATTTAGCCTACATGCAAAGGTGGAGAACTGTGTGTTACCCTGAACTTTGACTCTAAACTCTGCCACAGATTTTTGACTTGAATTAAATGAACATAGAGGTTGATTTAGAAAGAATTGAACCTCAAGTATCTCTCCTCTGCTGAGGTGAAAGATTTGTGTGTCCTTGTGCCTTCAACAGTGACATAGAGATATCTCGCTCCTGCATCCCAAAGCCGATTAATCGTCTGGCCAAAGAGGTTGGCCTGCTCTCTGATGAAGTGGAATTTTATGGGAAAACTAAGGCCAAGGTCCAGCTGAGTATTATCAAACGACTTCAGTCTCAGCCGGATGGCAAATATGTGGTGGTCACAGGGTATGTGTTCACTCTAGACTGAAAAGCAAACATATTTACCCTACTTTCACATTAATTCTCTAACGTAGAGTGGTCCTTCCTATTCAAGCTGTTGCACTTTAACATGCAACATTTGTCATGTTGTGTTCCTATAACTCCAGTATTACTCCCACTCCATTGGGTGAAGGTAAGAGCACGACAACGATCGGCCTGGTCCAGGCCCTGGGGGCCCACATGAAGCTAAATGTGTTTGCCTGCGTCCGACAGCCTTCTCAGGGCCCCACCTTCGGCATTAAAGGTGAGAAATGGAAGAACATTAAGCACCAGTGGTGACAAAGCTTAAAAGGCCTAAAAATAAATAGATTCTTGTTTTTATTCTGGCAAAATTTTCAGGGTCAGTTGTTTGTAGGACTAATATTTGTCTCAAAATAGATGCAGATCAAGGATATTTAACTAATTTATGTTTATACTTTGCACATTTATCAAAACTTTTTGTTATTAATCTTTGACTTGTTTGGACTTACAGTGGAATCCGCTTATAGTGATCTTATTGGTCCAGAGCCAATTTGAACGCTATAAGCGGTTGATTACTATGTCCGAATGTACCGTTATTTCACTCATTTTTTTTATGCAGAATATATAAATGCAATTTGTGTGGTTTTTCAATGAGAAAAATGAAATGAATATGATAGCTTCCGCATTTACTGAATTTCATTACAGTACAATGCAAGTTTAATGACAGTACACTGCGCTGTGTGAAGAAATAACTCTGGTAGCCTGGAGCCGCCAGTGCATATATATATATATATTTTTTTAACAAGTCTTAAGTTTAAAACAAACAGTTTCATAGAACAACAACATAGAAGATAACTGCATAGGCTACAGAAATATAAAGCTAGCCTACGTCTTTTTTGTGTTGCGGATCTGCTGCACTGCATTAAGAAATAACTTCACATATTTTTCCATGGTTCCCTGGATCAGAGTGTTGTCCAACGCCGACTTCACTTCTTTTTCAAAATGATATTAGAGGTCAAAGGTTTTGAAACCAACATGCAGGAGACCAGTCTTTAAAATGCAAACTGCATTCCTCATCTCAGCTCTGGAAGGGACAACAGTCCTCCTCCTCCTCCTCCCCTTCTTCACTGCGCGCAGCACTGGTACCCTCACCAAAGCACTCTTGTACCTCCGTGATGATGTCCGCATCACAGGCTCTGACACCGGAGTGATGTCATCACTTTTGATTCACTTATTAATTATCTTTGCACATGTTTACATTCATAAAATGGCCAAAAATGAACACTATAAGCAGATTTCTTGATTACTATAAACTAATTATTTAAGCAGCATTTGTATGGAAATTATTTTGTCCCAAGTATTTTGAACACTATAAGCGGATTGATTACTATATCCTTGACCACTATAAGCTGATTCCACTGTATAAACATAATGGGGGGCCCAGGGGCCCCTCTTTAAAACTGCAAACACAACAGAACAAGGGCCTTAAGTTAGACAGGACATTTCTTATTTTGAATAACAGTGATCGGATGCCATCCATGTGTGAACTAATAATTAATAATAATTAAACTTTATTGATCTCACATTGGAGAAATTTACCCTTAAAATTTAGCCATCCCCTTAGGGAGCAGTGGGCTGCCATTGTGCGGTTCCCGGGAGCAATCGGGGGTTCAGGGTCTTGCTCAGGAACCCAGAGTGCAGGCTGTTGGGATGGAACTGGGTACAACCCTCTCAGAGCACAAGCACACTGCTCAAACCCACTAGGCAAATACTCCCCCAACTTGATGTCTGGGACAAAGACTTTTCTATCCTTCAATCACAAAAGTAGAGAGGGCTAGTTTGGTTTGATGAGAACTGACTCCTGTGATTAGATGAGACACAGGTCGAGACTTTTATCTACAAAAAGTCCCAATTCAAACAAACAAACCACAAAAGAAAAACTAAAATCTCTGAAAGAACAGATCCCCTCATCGTTCAATGCTGCTGGATAAAGATATAGAACATAATCAAACCATAACAGTCAACCATATTTAATGTCCATCTTATCCTCTAGACTGAAAGGAAGGTAGTCCTTTTACACGGCTTCACCAGAGGCGCTGTCGTTTCAACAAGCCCTAGTTTTATTAATGCGGCTTTAGACAGTATAAGTGGGTCTGCTGTTATCTGTAATGCTCTTTCTTGTCAACAGGTGGTGCTGCAGGAGGTGGATATTCTCAAGTCATTCCAATGGAGGAGGTACTTTATACCTTTTTAACACTCTACTGGTTTTGGTTGAGAGAGTAAAAGTGTTTGACAAATATCTCAATTAATCCATAGTTTAACCTCCACCTGACCGGCGACATCCATGCCATCACAGCTGCTAACAACTTGGTGGCTGCTGCCATTGACGCTCGCATGTTTCACGAGGCAACGCAGTCTGACAAGGTGGACTCTCACTTAGGAGGTTAAATGACAAATTTATATAGATTAAAAGATCTTAACTCTTTGTCTTTTCTTAGGCTTTGTACAATCGATTGGTTCCGCTTAGTAAAGGGCAGAGAAAGTTCTCCCCAATTCAAATCAATAGACTGAAAGTAAGAGATAGTATTATAAATATTTTAGTCTTTATAGAATTGTTTTTTTCAAGGAATTGTGACACATTGATTGTCTTTGTTTGTGTAGAAATTGGGTATAGATAAGACTGATCCTTCAACACTCACTGATGAGGAGATCACCCGCTTTGCACGCCTGGATATTGACCCCAGCTCTGTAACCTGGCAAAGAGGTGACAATCGTCTTCATCCTCATCATCATGTAGCTTTATATCAAGTGCCATGTTTTAAAGTCTTCTGATTATTAATTTGACTGCAGTGTTGGACACAAACGATCGATTCTTGAGGAAAATCACCATCGGCCAGTCACCAACTGAAAAGGGTTACACCAGGGAGGTGGGTTATTTAGTAACGCTCAGATATTAAATAGAATACTTGAAAATGAGCCACCATATCCAAAGGAAGGATCAAAGTGAGATCATGTTAACAATTTGTGGTGCAGGCTCAGTTTGACATCACCGTTGCGAGTGAGATCATGGCCGTCCTCGCCCTCACCAGCAGCCTGGAGGACATGCGGCAGCGCCTGGCCAAGATGGTGGTAGCCACCAGCCGCAGCGGGGATCCAATCACAACCGAGGATCTAGTTAGTGCTTCTTCACCACTCTTGGGGGGCCATGTGTGTCAGAACTGCTCAAAGAAAATACTAAAACATGGGCTGTTTTATTGTGCAGGGAGTCAGTGGAGCTCTAACTGTGCTGATGAGAGACGCCATTAAGCCAAACCTGATGCAGACTTTGGAGGTGGGGAAAAATAAGGCCTTTTGTCATGATTTTGTTTAGTTTTGGAGCTTGAAAGTTCATTTACAGTTGCTGCTTTCTGTGTGCTTAAACTAAATGTCAGTTCACTGGATCCACAGGGCACACCTGTTTTTGTCCATGCTGGTCCTTTTGCCAACATCGCTCATGGAAACTCATCCATCCTGGCTGATAAAATCGCTCTGAAGCTGGTTGGACCCGAGGGCTTTGTGGGTAAGATGATCTCACCATAGATGCACTGTTTCCTGGCAGCAAGAAGATCTGGTGTTAGAATCCCAGCCTGTTTGAATGCTTTCCTCATGCATGCAGGGGTTCAGTCTGTGTTCTCTGACTTCCTGCTACACTCCAAAGATGTGACGGTTAGGTCCATTCACTACACATTCTAGATGCACAAAGTTGTTTTCCTCGTGTATCGCTTTGTTGCCCTGTGATATATTGGCCTCTGATCCAGGATATCCAAGCATTGATGGACAGTCAGAGAAACAGAACTACACTGAAAAACGGGCCAGGCTCAAACATCTATAAACAAAGGTGTTGCTGGCAGCAGCATAGCTGATATTTATCTCCAGGATGGTGTCACAGCCAAACAGGAACAGACCAGACGAAGCTACTATGAGACAAAGCAGAGAGAGCTTAAAGTTATAGATTGAACTAACAAATTCTGCAGAAGCAGAATAAGAAAGTGTCCCTATGAGCTCCAACAGTCTAAGCCAATAGCAGCATAACTATAGAGATAGCTTTGGATAACCTGAGCCACTCCAACTATAAGCTTTATCAAAATGGAAAATTTTGAGCCTACCCTTAAGGCCAATTTATACTTCTGATGCATAGCCCCTGCTATGGCGTCAAATTTGTCTCTGTGTGCGACCACGCCCCCCGTGTAGAGGTTCTGCAACCATTGTTGCACACCTTAAAAAAATCCTGACTACACGTCGGACAGTCGCAAACCCGCGCAGACCTGAAGAGGAAGTGAGCAGACATAAAGCAGCTGTGATTAGTCCTTGGTATGTGTTTCCGGCTGTCTGTGTGGTCCTCCTTCTCGATTTGGTGCCGGGGTGCGCCATTTTAAAAAACCGAGGGACAAATACAATGGACAACCTAAGTGTCCCCCTTTGTGTTTTTGCTCCATTAACAGTACCTGTTCCTCTTCGATGTCTAGCAACTCTAGGTCCATCTCCGTGACTGTGATATCTTGCAGACGCGCCATTGTTGTTTTGGAAGATGAATGCTGCCGAAGTTCTTGTGACTATCCGCTGAAGTTCTTGCGAGTTCTCGAATAGGCTCCCCCTTGCGCTATGGCGGGAAACTGCTGTGTGTCCCTAGAAATTCCAGACCGACGTTGCCAAAGCATACCAGCAAAACCGGTTTGTGACCAGACCCAAGCGACATTTGATGTGTGCGGTTGCAGAAGTATAATCTGCTCTTTAGAAATAGATAGGGTGTCTGCCTCATGGGCTAAAACTGGTAGTTGGTTCCACAGCAGAGGAGCCTGATAACTACTCCCATTCTGCTTTTAGAATTTCTGGGAACCACTAGTAAACCTGCAGATTGAGAGCAAAGTGCTCTGTTAGGAACATAAGGACCAATCATATCTCAAGCAATCATTTTTAAGTTTTATATTCAGGCAAAAAAGAACGGTTAGAAAAGAAAGGTTAGCAGAAAGCCAGATATTTCAGACTATTGCTTTGCATTATAACACCACACCAATTCTGCTCCTGACCCTTTGTCTCACACCCTCCATCTAACAGTGACGGAGGCAGGCTTTGGTGCAGATATTGGCATGGAGAAGTTCTTTAATATTAAGTGCCGCTACTCGGGCCTGAGGCCCCATGTGGTAGTCTTGGTGGCCACAGTCCGAGCCTTAAAGATGCACGGCGGAGGACCCACGGTAAGTTTCTTCTCTCTAATGTAGTATTCCGTTCTTTAAAATGCTAAATACTTCAAAATAAAAACAAACACTGAACTGTTTCATTCAGGTTACTGCTGGGATGCCATTGCCAAAGGAATATGTGGAGGAGGTAAGGAAGAGAAGCAGGAAATGCAAAACATAAGTGATCAGTTTTTCATTTTTCTATAATATTAAGCCATTTACTGTTCCTGAGAAATGCTTGGTCACAAATGAAACGAATAATTGGACCAAAGTGTTTCATCCATAAAACATGTTTTATGTCTGCAGAACCTTGAGCTTCTGAGGAATGGCTGTGGCAATATGAGGAAACAAATAGAAAATGCTAAACACTTTGGAGTACCAGTAGTGGTGGCTGTCAATGGTTTTATGTGAGTATGATAACATTTTATTGTCACTGCCAATGAAAATGTTCCATGCATTGAACTGGATTTATGTTGGTCTGTTTCTCTGCAGGACGGACACCGAGGCTGAGCTTGACCTGGTCTGCAGCATGGCCAAAGCTGCTGGAGCCTTCGATGCTGTGCACTGCTCCCACTGGGCTGAGGGTGGCGCTGGTGCTGTGGCCCTCGGTCAGGCTGTCCAGAGGGCCAGTGAGGCCCCCAGCAACTTCAAGTTCCTTTATGATTTGGATGTATGACTCCAGCCCAGCTTTATACTGCAGGACTATTCTCGTGCTTTCTTTGTTTTTAAATTTTTTTTTATTTTTAGCTCCCTATTAGTGACAAGATTCGAATAATTGCTCAGAAGATCTACGGCGCAGATGATATTGAACTTCTCCCTCAGGCCCAACGCAAGGTGGAGCTCTACACCAAACAGGTCAGCCTGCCTCAGGGAGGAGTGTTTCTTGTCATGAATGATTGTCACCAAGGATCCTCATCAATGAGGAATCCATTGTGACAACGTACACAATTGTTTTTCACTTTAGGGTTTTGGAAATCTTCCCATCTGCATGGCAAAGACACACTTGTCTCTTTCTCATGACGCTGAAAAGAAGGGTGTGCCGACCGGTTTTGTCGTTCCAATTAGAGACATCCGAGCAAGCGTCGGCGCTGGCTTTCTCTTCCCATTGGTCGGCACGGTGAGCTCACACCGACACCCGCCAATAGATTTCTTTCCTTCTTTGTTTTTTTGTAGATCTGTTTGTTTTCTTTGGACCCCCCCCCCCCCAAAAAAAGTAAACCTACTATGATAATAACTTTCCAATATAGATCTAATATTAATGTTTGATAGAAAGAAATGCTCTCTAAGGCTGCCTAAGTATAGGAACAAATTAACTTTCTGGATTTTTTTTCTGCTGTGGTTTGAAATTAAATAATTTTTTTTTCTAGAAATGTAATTTTTTTGTCTCTTTTACTCCCTGCCTTCAGATGCCTACCATCCCCGGTCTGCCAACCCGGCCTTGCTTCTACGATATAGACCTGGACCCTGAGACCGAACAGATCAACGGGCTTTTCTAAAGGAAAACGCCTCACAGCATGCACTCCTCCAAAACTGGGAAAGCAAGATGGATGAGTTTAGAAACACCAGCCATGCCCACAGGGCCTTAACAAACACCGGACAAGTTATAACTGGAAGCCCTGGTTGCTTTTGAAAAGCTGCTACCATGGATACATAATTTATGATTAATTATAGGGCAGAATTTATGCTGTTCTTAATCTTTAATGGAATCTAGAAAAATAATGTGTTATTCATCCAATTTTGTATAAAATATCTGACTGATAAAATACATTTCCTATCTCAGAACTCCTAAATCAGTAAACACAACTGTTCAAGCCTTACATCAGCTATCTGTTTGTATTTGTGAACACTACACTGAAGGTTTGCTCTCCAGTTTATTTCCTCAAATAGACTAATAACTTTTTTTTAATGTATTTACTAACTATGATGTCTTAATTGTATAAGTAATCCTGCCTTAAAAGGTTTTCACTTCATTTTGTAGATTTTTGTTAATCTAAAGGAATAGATGTTCTAAGTATATTAATTAGTGTTTCTAAGCACAATTAGAATTTTTTTAATCCATTTTTTTCCTGATCTTCCCCAAAAATTGAAAATAAAGTGACATATTTAGTATCTTAATCTGAGTGTTTCTTTTTTTATTAACCAAAACCATTAATGTCAAGGTATGACAAATTTGTTGGCACAGATTTCCAAAAGTCTTTGTATAGAATAATCTCCCATAGTTCTTAAACATAATCTACCTTTGAAAAGCGTTTAAAGTTGAATACATAATTTTACTTCTAATGTTGTTTTATATTCATTTCAGAAAATAAATCTAATGTTAGGATCAAAGTATGAGCATTGATATTAGACTTGGACAAACTTTCTTGTCACAGAGTGTATATAAAACACATTTACGCTGCATACAGCTTACAACAGTGAAATGAACATTCCCCTTTATAAAGTGCAGCAGTAATCAGAATGTAAACAGTACAGGAGATTTGGAAACCAGTTCAAAAATAATGGTGCAAAAGGGCATTAATATGGAAAGGTTTAGTGCAGTTCAAAATAAACATGGTGCAAAAATGCAGTAGAACATTGAGTTGCGTCCTATTTAAAATGATATTGAAAGGATCGGGGACGTTGATGATGCAAAAATGTTCAGTTTAGAATTTAAAAGTTCAACAGTCTGATGGCAGAGAGGAAAAAGCTGGTGCAGAACCTGCTGGTCTTGCATTGAATTCTGTGAAGTCTCTTTCCAGAGGGCAGCAGGGAGAACAGTCCATGGTGGCGGTGTGAGGGGTTGCTGAAGATTTACAGGCTCTGTTCACGTAGCGCTGGGATGAAATGTCTTTAATGGAGGGAAGAGGAGCCCCAATGAGTCTCTCTACTGTCCTCACCACTCTTCTCACGTTCTTCCAGTCTGAGGCGCTGCAGCCTCCACACCACAAAGTGAGACAGCTGGTCTCTGTGGTGCCTCTGTAAAAGGCCGTGAGTGTACTACTATTGGCATCCAAACATGCAAGCCCTCTTCCACCATCACAAATGTAAATAATAATAATAATAATGAAATTTATTCGAACATGACACAAATATAAAAATAAAATAGTGCACAGTAACAAGAAGTGCATAAAAAAGAAGAGAAAAAATACAGATATTTGTTTCAATTAACATATCATGCTCAAAATGGGGTAGGAAGAAGTGCAAACTTATTGACTCCTACCCCCTAAACACTTGAAAACTTACAGTCCTACGGTTGTTAGAAAAATCAAAGTCAAGTGAAAGTCAAAGTGGCAGTCAGCAGTTACTAATATTTACCTAAATATTTCCCTTTTTATGCTGGTTTGTCTTTCCAAACCCTTACACCAAGTTGTTATCTTCAATACACACATTTTTGCTCTCTCTCACTCATATGTCCATCTCTATTGAAAATTACCTCCTTATATTTTCTTTTGAAACCAAACAGGTCAGCCTGCCTCAGGGAGGAGTGTTTCTTGTCATGAATGATTGTCACCAAAGATCCTCATCAATGAGGAAAATCTTCCCATCTGCATGGCAAAGACACACTTGTCTCTTTCTCATGACGCTGAAAAGAAGGGTGTGCCGACCGGTTTTGTTGTTCCAATTAGAGACATCCGAGCAAGCGTCGACGCTGGCTTTCTCTTCCCATTGGTCGGCACGGTGAGCTCACACCGACACCCGCCAATAGATTTCTTTCCTTCTTTGTTTTTTTGTAGATCTGTTTGTTTTCTTTGGACCCCCCCCCCCCCCCCCCCCCCCCCAAAAAAAAAGTAAACCTACTATGATAATAACTTTCCAATATAGATCTAATATTAATGTTTGATAGAAAGAATTGCTCTCTAAGGCTGCCTAAGTATAGGAACAAATTAACTTTCTGGATTTTTTTTCTGCTGTGGTTTGAAATTAAATAATTTTTTTTTCTAGAAATGTAATTTTTTTGTCTCTTTTACTCCCTGCCTTCAGATGCCTACCATTCCCGGTCTGCCAACCCGGCCTTGCTTTTACGATATAGACCTGGACCCTGAGACCGAACAGATCAACAGGCTTTTCTAAAGGAAAACGCCTCACAGCATGCACTCCTCCAAAACTGGGAAAGCAAGATGGATGAGTTTAGAAACACCAGCCATGCCCACAGGGCCTTAACAAACACCGGACAAGTTATAACTGGAAGCCCTGGTTGCTTTTGAAAAGCTGCTACCATGGATACATAATTTATGATTAATTATAGGGCGGAATTTATGCTGTTCTTAATCTTTAATGGAATCTAGAAAAATAATGTGTTATTCATCCAATTTTGTATAAAATATCTGACTGATAAAATACATTTCCTATCTCAGAACTCCTAAATCAGTAAACACAACTGTTCAAGCCTTACATCAGCTATCTGTTTGTATTTGTGAACACTACACTGAAGGTTTGCTCTCCAGTTTATTTCCTCAAATAGACTAATTACTTTTTTTTTATGTATTTACTAACTATGATGTCTTAATTGTATAAGTAATCCTGCCTTAAAAGGTTTTCACTTCATTTTGTAGATTTTTGTTAATCTAAAGAAATAGATGTTCTAAGTATATTAATTTAGTGTTTCTAAGCACAATTAGAATTTTTTTAATCCATTTTTTTCCTGATCTTCCCCAAAAATTGAAAATAAAGTGACATATTTAGTATCTTAATCTGAGTGTTTCTTTTTTTTATTAACCAAAACCATTAATGTCAAGGTATGACAAATTTGTTGGCACAGATTTCCAAAAGTCTTTGTATAGAATAATCTCCCATAGTTCTTAAACATAATCTACCTTTGAAAAGCGTTTAAAGTTGAATACATAATTTTACTTCTAATGTTGTTTTATATTCATTTCAGAAAATAAATCTAATGTTAGGATCAAAGTATGAGCATTGATATTAGACTTGGACAAACTTTCTTGTCACAGAGTGTATATAAAACACATTTACGCTGCATACAGCTTACAACAGTGAAATGAACATTCCCCTTTATAAAGTGCAGCAGTAATCAGAATGTAAACAGTACAGGAGATTTGGAAACCAGTTCAAAAATAATGGTGCAAAAGGGCATTAATATGGAAAGGTTTAGTGCAGTTCAAAATAAACATGGTGCAAAAATGCAGTAGAACATTGAGTTGCATCCTATTTAAAATGATATTGAAAGAATCAGGGACGTTGATGATGCAAAAATGTTCAGTTTAGAATTTAAAAGTTCAACAGTCTGATGGCAGAGAGGAAAAAGCTGGTGCAGAACCTGCTGGTCTTGCATTGAATTCTGTGAAGTCTCTTTCCAGAGGGCAGCAGGGAGAACAGTCCATGGTGGCGGTGTGAGGGGTTGCTGAAGATTTACAGGCTCTGTTCACGTAGCGCTGGGATGAAATGTCTTTAATGGAGGGAAGAGGAGCCCCAATGAGTCTCTCTACTGTCCTCACCACTCTTCTCACGTTCTTCCAGTCTGAGGCGCTGCAGCCTCCACACCACAAAGTGAGACAGCTGGTCTCTGTGGTGCCTCTGTAAAAGGCTGTGAGTGTACTACTATTGGCATCCAAACATGCAAGCCCTCTTCCACCATCACAAATGTAAATAATAATAATAATAATGAAATTTATTCGAACATGACACAAATATAAAAATAAAATAGTGCACAGTAACAAGAAGTGCATAAAAAAGAAGAGAAAAAATACAGATATTTGTTTCAATTAACATATCATGCTCAAAATGGGGTAGGAAGAAGTGAAAACTTATTGACTCCTACCCCCTAAACACTTGAAAACTTACAGTCCTACGGTTGTTAGAAAAATCAAAGTCAAGTGAAAGTCAAAGTGGCAGTCAGCAGTTACTAATATTTACCTAAATATTTCCCTTTTTATGCTGGTTTGTCTTTCCAAACCCTTACACCAAGTTGTTATCTTCAATACACACATTTTTGCTCTCTCTCACTCATATGTCCATCTCTATTGAAAATTACCTCCTTATATTTTCTTTTGAAACCAAACAGGTCAGCCTGCCTCAGGGAGGAGTGTTTCTTGTCATGAATGATTGTCACCAAAGATCCTCATCAATGAGGAAAATCTTCCCATCTGCATGGCAAAGACACACTTGTCTCTTTCTCATGACGCTGAAAAGAAGGGTGTGCCGACCGGTTTTGTTGTTCCAATTAGAGACATCCGAGCAAGCGTCGACGCTGGCTTTCTCTTCCCATTGGTCGGCACGGTGAGCTCACACCGACACCCGCCAATAGATTTCTTTCCTTCTTTGTTTTTTTGTAGATCTGTTTGTTTTCTTTGGACCCCCCCCCCCACAAAAGTAAACCTAATATGATAATAACTTTCCAATATAGATCTAATATTAATGTTTGATAGAAAGAAATGCTCTCTAAGGCTGCCTAAGTATAGGAACAAATTAACTTTCTGGATTTTTTTTCTGCTGTGGTTTGAAATTAAATAATTTTTTTTTCTAGAAATGTAATTTTTTTTGTCTCTTTTACTCCCTGCCTTCAGATGCCTACCATCCCCGGTCTGCCAACCCGGCCTTGCTTTTACGATATAGACCTGGACCCTGAGACCGAACAGATCAACAGGCTTTTCTAAAGGAAAACGCCTCACAGCATGCACTCCTCCAAAACTGGGAAAGCAAGATGGATGAGTTTAGAAACACCAGCCATGCCCACAGGGCCTTAACAAACACCGGACAAGTTATAACTGGAAGCCCTGGTTGCTTTTGAAAAGCTGCTACCATGGATACATAATTTATGATTAATTATAGGGCGGAATTTATGCTGTTCTTAATCTTTAATGGAATCTAGAAAAATAATGTGTTATTCATCCAATTTTGTATAAAATATCTGACTGATAAAATACATTTCCTATCTCAGAACTCCTAAATCAGTAAACACAACTGTTCAAGCCTTACATCAACTATCTGTTTGTATTTGTGAACACTACACTGAAGGTTTGCTCTCCAGTTTATTTCCTCAAATAGACTAATTACTTTTTTAAATGTATTTACTAACTATGATGTCTTAATTGTATAAGTAATCCTGCCTTAAAAGGTTTTCACTTCATTTTGTAGATTTTTGTTAATCTAAATAAATAGATGTTCTAAGTATATTAATTTAGTGTTTCTAAGCACAATTAGAATTTTTTTAATCCATTTTTTTCCTGATCTTCCCCAAAAATTGAAAATAAAGTGACATATTTAGTATCTTAATCTTAGTGTTTCTTTTTTTTATTAACCAAAACCATGAATGTCAAGGTATGACAAATTTGTTGGCACAGATTTCCAAAGTCTTTGTATAGAATAATCTCCCATAGTTCTTAAACATAATCTACCTTTGAAAAGCGTTTAAAGTTGAATACATAATTTTACTTCTAATGTTGTTTTATATTCATTTCAGAAAATAAATCTAATGTTAGGATCAAAGTATGAGCATTGATATTAGACTTGGACAAACTTTCTTGTCACAGAGTGTATATAAAACACATTTACGCTGCATACAGCTTACAACAGTGAAATGAACATTCCCCTTTATAAAGTGCAGCAGTAATCAGAATGTAAACAGTACAGGAGATTTGGAAACCAGTTCAAAAATAATGGTGCAAAAGGGCATTAATATGGAAAGGTTTAGTGCAGTTCAAAATAAACATGGTGCAAAAATGCAGTAGAACATTGAGTTGCGTCCTATTTAAAATGATATTGAAAGAATCAGGGACGTTGATGATGCAAAAATGTTCAGTTTAGAATTTAAAAGTTCAACAGTCTGATGGCAGAGAGGAAAAAGCTGGTGCAGAACCTGCTGGTCTTGCATTGAATTCTGTGAAGTCTCTTTCCAGAGGGCAGCAGGGAGAACAGTCCATGGTGGCGGTGTGAGGGGTTGCTGAAGATTTACAGGCTCTGTTCACGTAGCGCTGGGATGAAATGTCTTTAATGGAGGGAAGAGGAGCCCCAATGAGTCTCTCTACTGTCCTTACCACTCTTCTCACGTTCTTCCAGTCTGAGGCGCTGCAGCCTCCACACCACAAAGTGAGACAGCTGGTCTCTGTGGTGCCTCTGTAAAAGGCCGTGAGTGTACTAATATTGGCATCCAAACATGCAAGCCCTCTTCCACCATCACAAATGTAAATAATAATAATAATAATGAAATTTATTCGAACATGACACAAATATAAAAATAAAATAGTGCACAGTAACAAGAAGTGCATAAAAAAGAAGAGAAAAAATACAGATATTTGTTTCAATTAACATATCATGCTCAAAATGGGGTAGGAAGAAGTGAAAACTTATTAACTCCTACCCCCTAAACACTTGAAATCTTACAGTCCTACTGTTGTTAGAAAAATCAAAGTCAAGTGAAAGTCAAAGTGGCAGTCAGCAGTTACTAATATTTACCTAAATATTTCCCTTTTTATGCTGGTTTGTCTTTCCAAACCCTTACACCAAGTTGTTATCTTCAATACACACATTTTTGCTCTCTCTCACTCATATGTCTATCTCTATTGAAAATGACCTCCTTATATTTTCTTTTGAATTGTATTAAACTATTGCTTTGTTTTCAATCTTAATTTAAGTTGTTCCATAACTTTACACCTTTAAATGAAATACAGAAGCTTTTTCTTGTTGTTCGCAACTTGCGCATCTTTAACTTTGAGTAAACCCTTAAATTATACCCCACTTCTCTTTCAGAAAACATGCTCTGTATGTGCTCAGGTAACAACTTTTTAGATACTTTGAACATAAATTGAGCCATTTTAAATTCTACAAGCTCGTCAAATTGGAGAATTCTGGAATCTGTAGAGTTTGCCTACAGGAACTTTATCTTGAATCAGGAACTTTAATCAGATCCAGATTGAGGTTTTTGGCAACAAACATTCCCAGTTGAGTTTGTTGTAAATCAAACCAAAGAACTGTCGGAAGTCATTTAATGTCCCCTTTATAAGTTTGATGGAGGGCTTATTTGGAAGATTATTTGTGTACAGCTTCAGGTATCTCAGAAAATATCAGGTCAGTTAAAAAAATGATGGATTGTCAATACTTAAAGTGGCTCCTCAGTAGGTTTTTGTTGGATAATAAAATATGAAACCAGGTCATAACAGAATTGGTTCACCAGAGATCTCAGATTGCAGACCTAAGTCCTGTGGGAACATTGCAGCATTGCATAATGAGAGCGAGCCAGTTTTAAAAATATATTTTTATTTTATTGTTCTAATTTTTTTAAGACAAAAAGAAGGGAATCTGTAGCTTTCTAAAGCCAATTAATCTGCCTTTTTTCAGACTGTAACAGGATGACTTATTCATTGGTGTCAGGACAACACATTACAAAGAGTTACCTCATTTTACCTGCCTTTGGCATTAGAGGGATGTTTGGGCTGTTTGGCTTCAAAAGCAGTTATGCAACTTAAAACAAACAGCAATACAAAGTGTGAATTTGTGGACACACCCGGCAGCAGAGCCGTTTGCTTCATCAGTCCTGGAGAGGAAATGACATCTATTACCTGTGTGTTCTAAAAAGCTAGCTGTGGAAGAGACTAAAGTGAAGATCTAAAACAGACACACTTACTGTTTTTAAAAGGTTTTATTATTATTCATGTATTGGAAAATTTTACAAAGCATTGTTTCAGTGATATTATTATTTTAGAGACGGTCTGCATGCTTTATTTCAGTTCTTTCCTCCTCTGCCTCCTCCTCTTTCAGTGCTCCCCTTGCCTTGTCCTTGGCCTCTTCCTTTTCCATGGTTTCCCTTGTCTTTTCCTTTCCCCTTTCCCTTGTTCTTTCCTTGGCCCTTTAATCAGTAACAACATATACACATTTATAATAAAGGCACAAAAAATTATAGATTGAGATTTAAAAAATGAAACGCAGCCTTGCCTTTCCCTCCTGCAAAAGTTAAAAAAGGGTATTAATATTACATAAAAAAATCCATCAGTAAAATTTAAAACCAGAAACATTACAGAGAAGGAAAAGACGACTTACTCCTTCAGAACCGGATCCTTCAGACTCTGAATGATCAGATCCTGCTTCTTCAGGCTTCTTATCCTGAGAAAAAGGAACCACCACATTACTACAGTCTGCATGCAAAACGATAATGATGAGAAAGAAACGACACTTACCGCAGCTGCTAAAAAAAGTAAAGAAAAAAACAGTATTAATGATAAATTAATTTAAAGAGGCATATTCAAATTCCCACCAAAACAGTGATGTCATTTACAGTCAGTAAAACCAGAACAGTGAAATGAAATCTGACTTACGATCACTCATTTTGTCTCTTCGGTGGATGCTAAAGGAATCACTTTCTAAAAGAATGACAAACAAACCAATTCAGAAAATACAACACTCCTCATAACCATTTCAAATGACCAAACATACCTGTCTCAGAAGAAAAAATTAACTTGTGCTTAACATGCGTGTCACCTCTCTATTTATAATGCAGCATTTGATAGGAATGTGAGTTTGTGTAGCTCCACCCACTTACCTTTAAATTTTACTGTTGCAAAACAAGGCATGCGTGACATGGATAAAAAAAAAATTGAAGACCTTTGAAAATGCTGAAAGGGATGGAAGAAAATCTAGAAATCTAATCTGTTTTTAACAATTTATGAGAAGAAATTAGATTCAGGTTCTAAAAGATTTTAAAAAATCTCTAATACTTTGGAGGATTATAGAGGAACAAAAAGCTTATAAAATGTCTAACTATAAGAAGTTTTCTAATTTTTCCTTGATGTTAAATGTAAATCACCTCGCTTTATTGTAAAGCAGTTGAGGAGAGCTGATTGTTTTGTCTTTTGCAGCAGTTGGAACTGGAAACATTCCATTCGTTGACCTTAAACTCAGTCTTTGCCTATTACAGAATCAAGCATCTGTGATTGAGGAAGTGAAGTTGCTCAACTGATCATTCCAGGAATTCAATTTTACTTAAAAAAAAAATGTTAATCCCTAAAAAAAAAAAAAAAGAAAAAACACACTTTTTATTTCTTTAAAGTCAAATTATCTCCCTAAACGGAAAAAAAAACAACAACAGTATTTTGTTTTTCATTTTGCATCCTGCTTCATGCCTTTAAAAATTTTTTTAATTATTCAGGTAAAACATTAATCTGCTATTGGTACCAGATTACCAGATTAGTAAAATTAAGATGAGGCTTAAGGATAGCTTGATATTGGAAAATATCAACACCAATAATAATAATAATAAATAATATTTAACTAGCAAGGAAAGTAAAACAAGATCTAAAAAAGCTAAGAAGAATACATGACACTCTACTGTGATTTGTTTTTTAATACAAAAATGACCACTCCCAGATTAGTTCAAGCTGGAACAGAACATCAGTTACTGATCATATCCTGGATACACCTGTCCCTGTCTTTAGGTATTTCTGGAACAGAACAACGTGATACGTCATTATCTGCACATAAGGTTAAAATAACATTCGATCGTTGACAACATTCAACTACTGGTTTAGTGGGTGGCGCCTTTTCACAAATAGAAGCTGTTTGTCAACAATCTGAGGTCAACAATCTGGCTTCTTATTTGATGACATTCTCTGGGCAGATAAGTGCAGTGAAAATAACAAAACAACAAACAAACAGAAATTTCAGTGATCTTAATTGTCAAAGACTGACAGCATGAATGAAAAAAATCAGCCAAATAAAACTTGTTCTGCTGATTTCACTCACAACCGTCTTATTATGTCCTTCTTGGGTGTTTACAGTCTTATTTATTGAATACATCATGTGATGCTATACATACAGCCATTCCCTAATGTGACTGTGGGTGGTCTTTGGCCTGGGGTTGATGTCATCAGACGGTGCCCAACCTTAACAAGGTGTTTAAACCCTTAACCGCTACACCGTCCAGCTGGCGGGTCAGCAGTGGTGGCCAGGTCACTGCCCATCATCTCCAGGCCTCCAGCCCCCCTCCTCCCTCTTAAACCACAAGCAGCATGAGGCTCTCTCTGCTGCCTCCCCAATCCTGCCCACAGCTTTCTTTCTCTCCTTGCCAGATATTCCAAGTGCAGTGAGCACAGACGACATTGACTGTGCTGGGAATCCTCTGCACCCGACCTCCACTGGAAACAGCCATGCTTTCCAGCCTTTGTCTTTGCAGTCCATGGTATTTTAGGTTCTTCCTCTCATGGGCCTCCTCACAGCCTTCCTCCCAAGGCACAGTCAGTTCCACCAGGATGATCTTCTTGGCTTACTCTGACCAGATGACAATGGCAGGCCTCAAGGTCGTCTGGACGATTGGTTAGAAAGTGAGCTTCTTCCCCAGGTCGACTGTCATCTCCCACTCCTGTGCCCCCTGGAGGATGTTGGTCCTGGCTCTTTTACTAGAGAGTGGCTTTTCTCCTGCCCTGATGAACTGCATAGATGGTACTTGTGGCTTAATCGGCTGTGGTCTTCTCCTGGCCTGCTCGAAAATGTCAGCCATCACTCGAAGCACTTGGTCATGACGCCACCTATATCTCCCCTGGGCCAGAATGATTTGGCACCCTGCTAAAATGTGGGCCAGTGTCCCCCTCTGTCTGCACAACTTGCAGAGCGGGTCCTCCCTCGAGCCCCACCTGGCTAAGTTCGCTGGTGATGGGAGCGTGTCATACACAGATCTCAGGAGGAAGCTAACACGGAAAGGTTCCAGCCTCCAGAGCTCAGTCCATGGGACCCTTCTGTTTGGGAGGTCCCATCTGGTCCATGTTCCCTGCGTTGCCAGCTCCACAGCCCTAGCCCTCCTTTTCTCCTCCTCCTGGGGACGAACTTCCGCCTGTAGCATCTCCCGCTTCTGCTGGACGCTTGCCTTCCTCCACCGTGTGAAGTGAGATGTTCCCAGTCCTTGTCGACCAATGCAGACACTACCGATAATGTCTCTCAACTCCAGGGAGCTCTCAGCTTGTCTGATTGCATTGTTGGCTGCCCACTTACGGCCTGTTCGTGTTGTGACTCCTGCATTGCATACTTGCTCATCCTTTGAGTCTCATTGCCACCATGCACTTGGCCGCTTTGAACTCCTCCACCACAGAGGAAAATGGAAGTTGGAGCTGTCATGATCTAATGTAGAGCCCGACTGCAGTAAAGCTGGGAGGGATACCTAGCCATCGCCTGAGATGTTTATTCACTCTCCTTTACACTCCCTCCACTGCAGTCACTGGGATTTGATAGACTGTCAACAGACACATAAGTCTTGTAAGGAGCCCATGCTGGTATATCCAGGACTTGAACTTGCCGGGTAGGCCTGACTTGTCAACCCTCCTTAGCCACTCGTCCGCCTGATTTGAAGTGTCAGAGATGTTGTTTTTGTCACTGAGGGTGTCGTCGTACCACTTCCCCAGGCATTTAATGGGGTTCTCCCTGATTGTAGGGATCTGCTCGCCTTGGACATGCAGTTTGAAAGCCTCTGTTAGTCTCCCCCGCCTTATCACCATGCTCAGTGACTTCCTGGGCTTAAAAGCCATTCTTGCCCATGATGCTAAAGCCCCGAAAGTCTTCAGGAATCCACCTTGCCTGCACATGCGTTGTGGTTGTTATGGTGAGGTCATCCATAAATCATCTCAGTGGGGGTTGTCTGCTCCGTGCTGCTGTAACTGGTCCCTTGGCCTCTGCTGCTGCTGCTGTAATCAGAAGGTTCATCCCCATGATGGACAAAATGGGGGATACTGGGCATCCTGTTACAATGCCTTTCTCCATACTGCCATGCGGTAGTAAACTTGGCAGTCTGGATCCGCAGCTTGAATGACCCCACGTAGCTGTTAATAAAACTGCCTGATCTTGTCGGGGATGTGGTACTGCTCCATAGCCTTGTTGATGGGGGAATGGGGCATGGACCCATATGCATTTGTGAGGTCCAGCCAGACAACTGTTAGGTTGCCCTTGCTCCCCCTGGCCTCCTGGATCAGATGGCTGAGCATGGTGGTGTGTTCCAGGCATCCAGAGAACCCGGGAATCCCCCCCTTCTGGATCGAGGTGTTGAGGTATCCATTTGTTGTCATGTAGTTAGTTATCTTCTCGCCAAGACTGAGAAAAAGATATTGGCTTCTACACTCAGCAGAGAGATGGCACGGAACTGAATCTCAGAAGAGTGCTTCTCCTTTGGCACAAAGCAGCCCTCTGACACTCTCCAGGTAGTTGCCCTTTGCCCAGATTGTCCGGAGGAGCTTCCAAAGTCTATGTAGCAGAAGTGGACACTTCTTGTGCACTTTATAAGGCACCCCGCTTGGTCCAGGGGCTGATGCTGTCCTTGCCCTTTTCACCACTTCTTCTACGTCCTTCCAAGTTGGTTCTCTGGTCACCAAAGGTTCTGAAGGGGGTGGCACCCTGATGATCTTTGGGTGGCTGCTAAGAAGTTCATACCTCTGTGGGTCAAACTGAGTCAACCTCAGAGCTTCTTCAACCTCCTCCTTAGAGCTGCTGAGTGATCCTAAACTTGCTTCTCCTAATAAGGTTTTAGTAAACCTATAAGGGTCTTTGATGAACTGTGCCCTCTTTGCCCCCTTCTTCTTTCTCTGCTTCCGTGTCTGCTCTGCCCTTCTCAGCCTGCGAAGCTGCTCACGAAGCCCTGATGTTAGGTCTCTAATTCCCTCTTTTTCCCCTTCGTGGCATTCTTGAACTGCCTGGATAATGCCTTTATCTCTCTCCGTAAGCTCTGCATCTCCTTTTCCCTCCGATTTTGTTGCCAGACATTAGGAGTACTGGTCTTCCTCTCCTTGACACCAAACCGCTCCTTGGCCACATTATAGATGAGTGCTGTCATCGTTACCATCTACTGTTCTGCTGCCCCGACCAGAGCAGTTTCAAGAATCTTACAGAGGTCCTCATGCAGCTGCTGCCACTCCTTGTTGCTGTTCATTTTCGGCCATTCTATTCTGTCCTTTGCAGGTTGAGGTTGCTGGGAGGCATCAGAGTTGACCACTGTGTGGTTCAAAGGCAAAGCCGTTGCCAAGAGATCTCAGTGCTGTGGGGTGTCTCCTGACTGGTATTCTCCTACATCTGACGAGGTGTCTCCACCCTGCGCTGCAACAAAATTGCCTCCTTTCCACACTTGGTCTTGGCTTGATGGATCTTTAGCCCTCTGGTGTTCTTGCATATCTTGCTACATTGGCATCGCACTTCTGGTGCCGTCTCTGTCAGTGTGGTTTGGGTGAGCTTTCTCGTTAGCCGTGTATCAGTCCTGGTCTGTACCGATGTGTCCGTCCTTGCGAGTCTCTCATCCTCCCCCCGTCTCGGGAGACTCTGGGGGTATTGCTCATTATAGATAACACACCTCTTCACTTTTTGTCAGGTATTCACTCCAAGGCAGATCCGAGAGAAGTCAGTATAGTGAACTAAGCTATGTGTCTGGAGTCAAACAGCTCTGAGCGATGGGTGTGAAGTTGTTTTCTCTCTTTTGGTTACACTCTCTGGAACCATAAAACAAAATCTCCCTTTTTGATCTGGAAAAACAACTTCAGAAACCTTAGTTTATTAATATATCT